CGCCTCACTCCCAGATATAGGGAGTGAGGCGCGGATCCGTGCGAGGGACGTCACGGAAAAGGAGGGACTGCTTTGTAGTCTATGATCTACATATAATGTAGTCAGCTGTGCAAACCGATAGGGAACACAGCTATTATCCCGATCTTCCTTTGTTACACAGACAATGAACTTTTTAATTTCTAGCATTTGAATCTGTGACCAAAGTTAGGACGAGGTCAAGTTTGGAAACGAGGTTTGAATGTTCGACCATATGCAACTTGCCGGGAGGGCCTGGCCCTAATCAATTCGATTTTCGTTAAATCAAAATTGAATTTTGAATGTTGTAAACCGGTCGGGTTATTAAAAAAAATGTTTCCAACACCTAGAGAATATGTAGATTTTCAAAAAATTACAGAAATCCACATTATTTTATTAATCGCTTGCTTACAGATTTTGCAACTTTCTTATTTATTCATATGAACAGGTGAATCGAAGCTAACAATGAAAACCATACCCGAGCTGAGCCAGCCAGGTTTTTCGGTATTTTATTGAATAAATTGACTGTCTTCTGCTTACCTAAGGAAAGCAAAAAAAATATTTAGGCCTGTGCAAGTTTAGAATCCAAGAACGTCGCACCTAGCGTGTGATGCTACCTGTTGTACATGTAATTACAATATATGGAAATTATTTTCAGATTATGCATATTTGTTCTATATGCAAATATCATAAAACGCTTTGACATCTGCATGACATGTGTTCAAAGCCAAAAACTCACATCAACACTCACTCGGCGTTAAAGCATGTTGTTCGCCCTTTCGAACGCCTTTTGACATGATGTAGCTGCACGAGGGGCTTTTAAAACAGCAAGAAGTCGCTCCATTGGCACCTAAATGGCAAATTTTGTTATTCTGCTTCGTGGATAAACACAGGCAAGGGACGAAGCAAAATTTCGAGGTATCCTTTTTGTTATTTGTCTTTTTTTTTTTTCATTTCGTTTGTATCGTCGCTGTAACCGGTTATATTTAATGCAATTTTTCTCACTCGCTCTCCCGTAGAAATTGCTTACTTCTTTGAAATTCTGGTTTTGAAGATAGTTAATATAACTCATTTGTAGACGGCTGTTGTTTCCGCGCGCTATAGATACACCATTTCAAAATACATCGAAATAAATATTGTTTTAAACTTGTAATTCGGCCGGGAACATACAGGTTTTGTTTTAGACGAGCTAAAGACTCCTCGATAAACTTGCTAAATTCTATTCTAATGTTCCAGCTAACACGAAATTCAAACGAATTTATTTCGAGAAAAACATCGATAATAAGTTACAAAGTTGAATATTTACAGCCTCGAGTTATAAATGCGATTTTAAGAAGCTATCGCACTTAATTCTGAAAATTGAGAATCGGGGATTCACTGATAAAGCGACATTTATTTCTATTGTTTTTGTTTCGGTTCGTTTGTTTTTCTATACGAGAACAGATAGATGCTTCCCTTCAGGTTGTCCTTCACGCTAGCTGAAGGCACAGTCCATAAAAACAAAGTAACAAATAGACTTTCGGCGCCGTGATGTTCTGTTTACTGGGCGAGAAACAGCTTGAGTCCTCGACTGTAAAGCTCGGCTAAATTTTGTTAATATATTAAAACTCTTAAAGGAACTGAAAATTTTTCGCTCTTTCGTTACTAATTTATTATTGATATCCATCTGCGACACTTGCTTCTAAATAGCATGTCTTATGCTAATTAAAATAAGTTAGGATATTTAATCGTGTTGCTAGCTTGTAAGCTAGTTTTAACTGCGCGGGCTTGTAAACATTAATGTATATTTCAAGAAGCTTTTACCCAATGGATTGTGAAACTGTTTTTTTTTTTTGGCTTAAAGAAAATCATCATTAATTTTTTATCCTTCTATCTGTGAATGATCACCTTGACTAGAAATTGGCGCGTCCTCCATGAAAAGGAAGACGCAGGACTGTGTTTAGAATACTGAGATGTCTTAGTTTCGTTCTTAACTCGAAGATAACATTCATAGAACAGAATTTTTGAAAGTGCAGATTTTTATATTAAAAGCGACTTTATTTAAAACGTCCCAGATTATTATACAAAGAAACCATCCATTCAACAATCGATGCAACACGCAGAGTTTGTAAAAACACATTTACGACCGAGAAAATATTTTGTAAGTAGTATGCAGTCCACTCTGGAGGCCACATCAACACTATAGAGTTCAACTTTGCCTCAAAGATGCGATTTTTCCCGTCGTGTTGTTCAATCGATGGATCGTGTACAAATAAAACCCTAAACTGTTTAAATATTCTTTTTAGAAAGAACTGGAATAATGAAATTTGACAGGTACTGGTCATTGTTACTGATCAGGTAATTTGAAACGGAAAGAACGTCGCGATCGGGTGCTATCCAGAAAAACAAAGAACGATATGCATGGTTTCATCCCCCCCNCAAAAAAAAAAAAAAAGAAAATTCATTATCGATTGCTAATTCAGAATAAAACTGATGTGACTGCAGGGATGAGAAACAGAAGTTGCCTCCTTAATGCGATCCCCACATGTAAAGAAACTTTCGAATGTTATAAAACAATTAATGATTTCCACATCGTTTTCAGAGGGTCACAATGGGGTGATGGCTTTTATGGCTAACGGTTAAAATTTTGACCAATCTGCGGCTAACGGTCAATATCTTTCCATTGTTATCACCACAAATTTTTTTTAACACAACTGTTTCCCTGGCCCTCGTATTTGCTTCTTGGAAATGGAAAATAAACTCTGAAGGAAAGTGTAAAGCGCGTCTTGTGGATTCACATGTAATCTGTCTCCTTTGTAACTCTGACAGATTTTCTTAGTCGTAAAAGTTGCATAATTATATAAGCAAAGAACTTGAGAGAATTTCCTCAAAAAAAAATATCGACAATTTATTAATTTCAGCTAAATCAGTGCGATTTTTTCAATAGTCGCTCATTGTAGTTTTTGTTTTATTTGTTTCCTGCAGAGCCATTTGAATTTATTCAAGGAAACACCGACTTGCTTCTCGCCTGGGTTTGGCAGCTGGTGATAGCCTTCGTAATAACACCGCTGCAAGACATGTTTGGTCAAACACAAAGCTCGCCTCGAGAGTTCATTCTGTCTTGGGTTCATGAGAAGCTTCCTGCACACAATGTCACAAATTTTGACAGTGACTGGCAAAATGGCGTGCTACTGTGTGAGCTTGTAAATGCTACTCAACCAGGACTAATTCCAACAAAGCTATATGCAGATAAAACAAACGGTGAAGGAAACGCCAAGCTAGGCATGCAAATTGCGCATGACGCCTTCGGAATACCGCAGGTCATTTCCCCGTTTGACCTAGCGTCGTCGCAAGTGGATGAGTTAAGCTTACTGACGTACCTAGCGCTGTTTGTGAAGTACGAAGGTCTGAAAAAAGGGACTGGGAAGAAGGCGAGTAAAGGTAACCCGGGAAATAAGGACGAAGAAATTGCGCATGCGTGTAAAGCATACGGCTCAGGCCTGAGAGCAAGTGAACTCGGAAAAGTGGCGGAATTCGTTGTCGAGTTGAATGGTGCTAACCCCACTGATATAACCATTGCAATTGAATGCAAGCCAGTTAAAGGAGCCGTTCACGAAGACAAACCTGATCTCAGTGTGAAACCGCTGAACAGAAATACTTACTGCGTGAAGTATTTACCAACACGGCCTGGAGACTACGTCATAAGTATTCTGCATTGTGGAGCTCACATTTTAAGGAGTCCATTCTACCTTACAGTTCCAGAGCAAAACGGCCTCAGTTCACTAAAAACACCTCTTAGAAATCAGCGGAAAGACCTCGTGAATGGAACTTCATCTAATGGACATGAAGTGTCTTCGAACAAGAACCATTTCCCAACGAGTCAGAACGGGTCGCCGAGCCAGTCCTCTGACGATGAGGGCAAAAATTATTCGCTTATCCCACCCTTTTTGACAAATGGATCTACATCACCCAAAATTCCTTTGAATACCGCCGAGGGACCAGGGCTTATCGCCGGGGAGGTTGGTCGCATTGGAAGATTTAGGGTCTTAACTGATAATGCAACTAAAGGTCCTTTGAGCGTCTGCATCAGCTGTCCAGCGGTTTCCATCCCTGTGCCCTACGTTAAAAGCGTGAAGAAGGGCGAATTCACAGAGCATAGCGTGCTGTACATCCCCACGGAACCTGGAGCTTACGAAGTGTTCATAAAATGGGGCGACCTTTCCATTAAAGGAAGCCCTTTCAAAGTATTCATAAACAACGTGTTGGAGAATGGTGTCACCATGCAACCCGGAGGGAAAGACGATTTAGGCGGGCGTGGACGAATACGCGTGTACTACGCAGCCATGTCGACGAATCTGAAGGTGCGAAAGGACAACGAACTGTTGGAGAAGTTCTTAAAAGCAAAAGGGATCTCAAACCGATCGGATTTTGATCCATGGATTGCGCTGGATGTAGCCATGAACAAAGTGGAAAGAGATAAAGTTTTCTCCAGGGCTGGTACTCGAAAGACACCAATGCTATTTGCTAATGATGTCTTTATCGGAGGTTATGAGGATGTTCTCATTATGGACAAGCAGGGACTGTTTGATAAGTACTTGAAGTAACTTTATGTCTCGACCAGATTGTAGCTGAAGGGGAATTCTTCGCTACTTTTTCACACTTCATTTCTTGATAAATGGTGGTGTACGAGTGGACATCGTCATAAATAGGGCTCATCTCGAATTAAAGGAGCCGTGGAACGTTTTTTGATTCTGCGACATACAAAACTGCCTTCTAAATGAAGGAAACTACCAAACATTACTTTGATAAGAAAGAAAAATAACACAATGACAATTGTAAATTACAAACGAAGGAGGATGAAAAAGATTGACAGGGATTGGAAACGGACCACAAGATATCAGTTGTAAGATAGAAAAAAAACACAAAAGAAGCAATGATAAACAAGAAGTCAGAAGGAAAGCTAAGGATGGGAACATTTGACATGTATTAAAAATTACGTACTAAATTATGGATTGAGCTGGAAATGTCTCTTTTGTCTGAATCGCATGAATCTTAAGGATTGTGCGGCGGTCTCAACGAGTTCTTTTTGTTCGTATGCTTGGATCTTCTAATTATAAGTGGAAAAGGAGTGTCCGTTCTTCGGACGTTTGGCTGCGTAGTCCCCAGTATTATTATGTAGCTCAGCAGAAGGATTTTGCAAATCGAATGTTTAAAGTTAGTGAAAAAATCATTTCCGAAAAGATTTCGTAGAGAAACAAAAAATTATTTATTTAATGTAATGTAAAGCAAATTGCTCAAGATCGTAGGTTATTTATTTTAGTTCGGCTAAGCTTTAATTTGTCTTTTTTCCCGTGAGTCGAGAGCTTTCTGAAGGAATTTTGACGAGTGACTATCACTCAGTTCTTAAACCGCGCTGCAGCAACTCAAATAAAACTCTTGTCAAATTCAGAAGTTAGAAAACTAGTGAAACTTTCTACGAGTTCACCGAGCCTCGACAGCAGTGGCGAACTCCCAGGCAAGGGTAAAAAAGGGGGGTATCTTGGGTCATTTATTTATTGTTTGCTTAGGTGATAATGTAATTCTAATGTTAGTTGACTTAATTTATTTATGATGCGACGTGTCAAAGGAGATAGTTTGATATGTAACATGTCTGATGAACTGAAACAAAAAGAGAACGACAGTGTATGAAATAAAAAAAGAATATTTTAATAAGCTATTTAGATAAATGCTTAGTCGCATGAAGTTCAATAAATCATTCTTGAAGTTGCTAGTCTTTCCTTTGTGCAAATCAAATGGCTACAGGAAGTAATTCATGATAGAAGTCTCGTTGGGAATTAGACGTGGCCAAAAAATGTTGCTCTATGGCGTAAGGATTGGCAAACTTTAACCTTAGGTCGTAAAAAAGTTAACAGTAAAAATGTCCCCTCTCTAGAATGTGTCATTTTGGGTTCACTGTTAGCCGTAAGATGGCCAGAATTTGAGCCCCTAGAAGGGGGCTAGAGTTAGAGCCCCCTCTAAATAGAGCCCCCTCTATTTAGAGCCCCCTCTAAATAGAGCCCCCTCTATTTAGAGCCCCCTCTAAATAGGACTTGCAGTCACCGCTAGGGGTGAAACTTTGCGGTTTACAAGGAAGTTTATATGAGGAGTGATTAGCTCCCCCTCGAGTCAAAAATGTCATGTTTTGAAGCTTTAATTCCAAATTTTAATCCTCATCGGGAAAGCGTTGAGAACCGTGTCGAGCCTGAAATTTTTTAGCTTGCTCCCAAACATGGCATTTGAATTTCGTGACCTTGAACGTATATGTGCACGATCCTTCGCAGTAAAGCACTATTTAAGCAATAGTGAAAATCAGACCTGAAAAAAATTCAGGCCTGTACGGGATTCGAACCACTGACCTCTGCGATACTAGTGCAGCGCTCTACCAATTGAGCTTGAACGTGTTAAAACACGTAACATGTCTGATCAAGTTTTGTTGAGGCTGAAAAAAATTGATTTAGCTAATGACAATTGAATTTGCTTCACATTCCGTAACAGTTTCGTGTGAAACTGGCCGTTTCTGTTGCTGTTGAGTACATAAAGAATCTTATTAACAGCTAGTCGTATTTTTCATCAAACGTTCTAATGGCTATTACTCGAGAGGAGACGATTCACTCACAGTTCAGTCCAAGATTTAATACTAGGTTTATGAAAGATTCCCTTGCCTATAGAGGTGCAATCTTTTGGAACACTATTCGCTTAAATGAACGTAATATCTTGCACAAAAACCCAAATGAGCTGTTTCGAAATTTGAAAACAAAGCCTTATTTTAGAGATTTAAAATTTAATATTTCTTCAGCTTCAGCTGCTGCCATAACATGATGACTTTCTCTACTTTTGATTAAGATGTTAGTGTTAGCTTTTTACTTACTTAGCTAGTCTTCTTCTCATTTTAATAATGTATAAACTTAAATACACGACCCCTCAAGCTGTTAGCTTTAATTATTATCGTGTTTAAATAAAGGTCTTATCTTATCTTATCTTCAAATTAGCAATAAAAAAACACCTGTCGTTTATGGGCTTTGTACGCGTCAACCTTTAACCCTTAACGAGTGACTGACTTCTAATTTCTCCCTACATCATCACCCACAGATCAAGCGTACAGGTAATGAGAATAACGAAAATGATCACTGATACGATTAAAGAAACTTCTGGTTGTGAAACAAATTCTCCATGCTAATATCATAGGAAATGTAAAGAGCACAGTGTGGAGATCCTGAATACCAATGTTAGACTAGGCAGTGTTATGGAAGGAGGAATCGAAATAAGGAAAGGCAGAAAGGAAAGGAAATCTGAGATAAGAAAAGACACTTATTTCAAACAATTGAGTACTTAAGGAAGCTTGTTTGTACTGTACTGTAGCCAATGAGGAGCCAGTATTTTGTTTTAGGTCCTCGTGCATTGCCACTGGTCTGCAGCGATCACGTTATATAAAAAACTGGCTACTCATTGGCTACAGTACAAACAAGCGTCCTTAACTACTCAAGTGCGTCAAAACAAATCAAAGGTCTCCTTCTCAATTGTGCAATTGACGATAAGCGCAAATAGACTGTGTTGTGAAGAAAAGCTAGTGATTGATTCAACTGGTCTATGAAAATACTGTATCTAATTCACCCCACTAGCCTTATGCATTAATATGATGTCTAGTATGGAAAATTTACGTTCGGATGTTAACAGCCGGGCAACACATTGATACCCATCGTCTTGGAATGAATCTTTTCCTGTTTGATTATCGACTTTGATTTCTCCAAGAGTTCCATGAATCCATGCACAGCACAATTACGTGGCTACTTGTTACCTGCGTGGAAAGATAAATCGCAGTTAAATTATGTGCTGAAAAATACAATCGCTGATTAAAAGTTATAACGGTTATACTGAATACAGGGGTTGGCCCTTCTTCAGAGCAAATCAAGACAACACGAAAACATGAAAAACAATTTAGCTCACAATCTCTTGTGGAATAATCTTGAAATGGACCAATTGTGACAACTCAGATTGGATACTCCCCACCCCTCCCTCCTCATTGGCATTGTTTGGCACGCATGCATACACGTGCTTCTAACTCGAGTCCAGGTAGAAGTTTTCTTAACAAATCACGGAGTGCGAACCACTTTAGGTATTCATATGAGATCCAAAACCTTCAAGCGCGCCAAATACATTTGCATTTCACAACTTCTAATAGGACAAATCATCTGCTTTTGTCTCTAGTACTCGGTGTATGCGTATTGACCATCTTATGCGGGCCTGACTTACTTAATACAGTGGTCAAAGGTCTGTGCATGCGCGAACTTTGTAACGACTACGTGGTGCGCTTTAAGGCTGTCAGAACCAAATTGTTACAAAAGAGTTACAAGGTACCACACAAGCCACTGAGTACGTCTTGGTGTTTAAGAAACGTATAATTTTTTTGGTCAAGCTCAAAACAGAATGGTAAATTACCAAGATAACTGTACTTGAGTAAGGTTTGAACCCCTCGCTCATGCCTGACATTTGACCGCTATGTTGACTAACTTACATCTTGATCCAATTTGAGCAGCACGTGCAGCACGTGCAGCACGTGATTCTTCTATGACACGAATTTCCTGAGCCAAGGTTTCATTTTCCCTCCTCAGACTCTCGATTTCATTCACCAGAGAAATTACTCGCCCTTCATGATCGCGCAATCTACGACAGATTTAGAACAATATCCATAGGATTAGACGTTTTTAGCCTTTAATGAATCAGGAAAACATAAAATCAGAGTTATTTATCAGAGTTGTTTCCCATAGGCCGTTATTTTGCTCGTTACGCAGCATAGCTCTCTTTCTTAGCGCTCCTTGATGCGTGACTCTTATTGACAAGTAACTCTACTTTCGTGATTCCTCCGTTACAAGTCACACCATCACACACGCCTTTTGCAGTAAATTGTAAGCTATGTGACACGTGACCCATGATCAAGAAGAACTGTTCTGTAGAAATTTTAGCTGTTGGTTTTTCTTCCAATTTTTTTCAAAAACGAGGGTGTAGGAAAGGAAGACAATCTGGTAGATAACAATGTTGCGTGACACTAAATAGAGAAGAACTCATAGATGGGAAAATTGGAAGATTAGAAAATTGAAAAATTGAAAAAAAATTAGCAATAGAAAAATTACTTCCGGGTAGAGTTACCTCACTACTTGTCGTCTCAATTGCGCATTCCCCTGTCGCTCTCGTTCTGTTGGGGACAATTTGCAGAGAGATTTTCTGACGCGTAGTTGTAGAATAATATAAACGCTTTAATTACGATCATCTCATGCTTGTTGACAACCTCGGGTTCGACAAGCTCCAAGTACAAACATTTCCAACATTTGTGATGTTTTGTGTTGTCTTGAATTATCTCCGCCTAAGTAGAAACTGAACGAAAGAAAACTTGAATTAACAACTGATCGGGGTAGAAGGAAATTATAAACCTGATACTTACATTTTCTGTGCAATCAACAGTAGGGAAAAAACAAAACTGCAACAAGCATAGCATTTACGGTCCCCTACACGAAACTATACACTTAAACCACACCATGTGCTACTGAGCCACGTGACCTAATCGATACCGGTTCGCAATTCGTTTATTCGGCCGCTAGTCGGCCCAAACACGTTCCAGTTCATCGAACAGCAGATGTGAACGTCTCCTCAGGTTAAACACTTCCTCAAAATCTTCCCCTTCAAGAAGTGACGATTAATTAAGTCAGCGGTTGCACTCTTAGTAACTGAGATGTTGAATGGCTAAACTTTTTATTGAACCCGCCAATGGAAAAGCGCAAGAAAAAAAAAAAACAGTCAGAGGTGATAAGCATGTGACAGGTGATGGGAACAGAGAAATTTTTCCAGACAGTGTTATCCTGATCGAGCTCCAACTTCATAAAAAGAATTTGTAAGAAAATCAGAGCACCTGTTTGGGAGAATTTAGCGTTACAAGGTCGATACTTACGATAAATCCTGGATGGTCTTTCAAACTCAGATGCGCTCCGCCTTGGAAATAAAAGTTGAACAAGATCTATGGACTCTGTTTTGCTGAATACAATACAATACAATATTCTTTATTTAACGAAGGTGACGTAATTAACCCTAAAGGTCGGCACACACGAGGGGACTAGTCCCTGCGACTAGTCAGTGCGACTAGTCCCGGCGACAAGTCTTTGAAGGGTTTACACGAGGGGACCGGTAGCAGGGACTAGTCCCTTAAGGCGTTCACACGAGGGCACTCAATTGCGCAAGAACATCGGAAAATTAAGAGGCAAATGATGTTTCTTAGTCTGGGGCGTTACACGAAAACAATTAAAATTTGGTAGCTTTTCATTGTAGCACTATTAAACATCAACGCAAACGAACTACACTTATTCAGTCGGATTATTCATGCTTTTACGTGTTCCGTTTTTGTTTTTTTTATTTTATTTTTAACAGACACAGAGTCAAATAGGGTAAAAAATTCCATCAAAACGGCTCCAAGACATCTGTATATGTTTACAAAACTAGAAATAGTTTTTTATTCTTCANTCTGTTAAAAATAAAATAAAAAAAACAAAAACGGAACACGTAAAAGCATGAATAATCCGACTGAATAAGTGTAGTTCGTTTGCGTTGATGTTTAATAGTGCTACAATGAAAAGCTACCAAATTTTAATTGTTTTCGTGTAACGCCCCAGACTAAGAAACATCTTTTGCCTCTTAATTTTCCTATGTTCTTGTGCAATTGAGTGCCCTCGTGTGAACGCCTTAAGGGACTAGTCCCTGCTACCGGTCCCCTCGTGTAAACCCTTCAAAGACTTGTCGCCGGAGCTAGTCGCACGGACTAGTCGCAGGGACTAGTCCCCTCGTGTGTGCCGACCTTAATGAGTTACCTAGTGACACAGTTAAACTTGGTAATAAATAAACACGGCTAAACAACAGAAAAGCAGGAATCAATTCTCTCTCCCCAGCCTCCCCAGCCATGATTTTTCAATTACCTCGTTCTGTCATCTACCACGGGTGGTGAAGACCACGTGACTGTTGGGTAGCTCGAAGCACGTGGAGAGATTGGACGAGGATTTGTCAGTTAACAAATCAATCAATCAGTTAATCAGTCAGCAAGCTCATCAATCGCAACTCGTCCTGTGCAATGCAGAAAACCAACCCCACGAATTGCTTTTCGAAGTCACAATCGTAATGCAGCTTAAACATACTGTATGTGATTAGTTTTCGAAAACGTGGAAACGCTGTACCACGCCTCTTTATTACGGTTTATTCCCTTTATTTGACGATTAACTCTCACCCACTGCTCCTCCCTCATTCGAATAAAAGCACACACATCACGTTGCAATATGAGCACGTCGATCACGGCCATATATGGGCGAAAATACGTACCGCATATATATTGTTTTAATCATGAAATAGGCAAACGAAATCTCTTAAAATGTCGATCAATTAAAGTAATTAAACGTGTCGTGCAGTTCTCAACTTAGTAACGGTGAAACAAGAAGTTCACGGCAAGCGTATTGTTAGTTAGCGTTAGTTATGGTATGGCAAATGAGAGTGGACAACAAAGCGCAAAAAGTGCTCTTTTCAGTTAATTTTGAGTATGACGGGCGTAATCTTTATTGACGACATTGCAATTTTCAATAGTGTCGAAAGTAATCTAGCCTAGATTGTATTAGTTTTGCTATTTACAATGTGGACTTTGATTGGTTCACAAAATTCGCGCCATTCGTTTCTTCAGTCAAATCGGAAAAACTAGACCCAATCACGACTTGGTCACCTGCGTTTTCCCCGCGCTTAACACAGTTGGTTTGTTTTTACTTTGATTTCGTATTGACTCCTTGTAATATTATCTTTTCTTCTGATTGGCTGTTGTGGTTACTTTGGTCGTGGTTTTACGTCTATAACTCGGGAATATGTAAAGATCCTGTTTATCTTACAAGTGCAGAGGTTCATGGAACGATTAGAAATAGACCATACTTACACCGCAGGCGGTCTGAATTGAGCGTCTGATGTTTGAACGATACTGGTCGATTTCTTCACTTTCTGACAGAAGGTGTTGCCTACATGATCCAGTTTGTGCAGCATTCTGACAAGTGTGAAGACTACAAACGATATAAATTACAAAACTTTGTGCTCGGAATTCTGAAAATTCATACGTACCTGCAATGCGCCATTGGCCTGCAACGGCGATTTCAATGACTTTATCCCTTCAAATCTCCCACGACAGACAAGAACCGTCGTAACACAAAGGCAAATTTTGCGCATGTCAAATGGATTTACCAATTTTATCAGGCACGTGACAATTTCCCAGTCTGCCAGTAACATACATATACTGACATGCATCAAGTGTTTTTGTCGAACTTACTTTATTGTTCGCGCCGCTGACCTCTTTAGCCGTTTTTTTTGAAAACAGGTCCCCTCTAGCTCCCATATCCATTGTCATAAGCTGACGTTTGCCACCAACTTGCCATGATGAACTAGAAAAAAAAAAAAAACCGTAACCTAACCGAAAAAAGAAATTAAACATATAACTGAATACATCATTAATAAATTAATGAATTCTTAAACAAAAATCAAATTTAAATCGGCCAAAAGGAGGTACACACCCTCCTTCCTCAACAAGAAATACTGAGTTCAGTCAGATAATTCAGAACTACTTTTCTGCCAGCTAGTGCCAACCTCGAAACACGCGTGTCTCGTACATGCTCTTACGTGTGCACGCTCCCACATCAAATGCTCACAGATGATTAGATATCCTCGGACAAGGCTAGTAGATGGTCTCGCTCGCCTACGAGTAGGCTTTGGTAGATTGTGCTCGAAAAAAAAAGCATATTACGCTTTTAGCAGTGCTCATATTTTTAAAAATTATGCCAAAATTATGCTACTTTCTGAAAATTATGCTCTCTGTCACCGAAATTATGCTACTTACATTTTACACTGATTTTAAGGAAAATAAAGATCATCAGTGGCTTAACTCTATCAATTTTGACTTTAATGAACATTCACATAGTCCACCTTCCAGTCTTACAGTCTTTAGCATCGCAAATACGCATGTGCGCACCTCGAAAAGCCAAATGCTTATTTCAACAAATTATACAAATGATACATTCTCTAGGGATTAAAGCTCTCGGTACGGCACTGCAAGTGCTTGAAGTGGTGGAAGTGGATGTACTCGAGGACGACGCCATCTTTGATCTGAGGCCTGAGGGGCCGAGCCGCCGAGCCATAAGCGTGGTGGCCTGAGTCTCAGTCTTATGCACAGGGTGACCTCTGACGCCTGCCGGACCATATTTGACCATGGGCTTTAGCACAGACCTCAATATTTTCCAAAAACAATACAAAAATAAAATACAAACTGAATTATTCTAGAGCTATGATAGTTTTCTTTTTTGCTTTCGACGTATAAAAGCTCGGGTTATGCCAGCAGTGCTAAACTGAAATAAAAGCTCAAAATAATGCTCATTTTGCTGAATAATGCTTAAAATTATGCCAGCAGAATCTACCAAAGCCAACCTACCAGTGCTCAGTACAAGTGGGTCAGCGGGTTGACCATCTGACTGATGGCGAAATCGTAGCGTGCAAATTTTGAATCCTCAGGTGTACTTTGGTTTGACCTGACTTCGCCCTTCGCTGAGGTGAAGGTTTTATTTTTTCAAGGATAAACGGCGCGTAATACTCTAAACTGAGACAATCAGATTGAGAGAGAATTCAAGATCCTTGTTTCCATTACTAATTAATCCAAAGTAAGAGTCATGTACATAATGAATTGACGTGAATGCTCAGAATATAATCATGTCGGCAAAACCTCGATGAAATAGCGCAAAAGTGGGTTTTTAGATTTAAGGTACACGATAATTCATTTAACTAAACAAATTTCCAATGCGACTGTAATACTTTCTTCAAAATCAAACTCACTGCTCATGAAGATAAACTGATGACATTAAGTAAACAAAAAATTTAAGCGGTATTAATTTTGGGATAATGTGTGTTGTTATTCTAGGTCTCTCCCTTAACAAAGAAATTAATGCCCCCGAGCGGTTAGTTTGGAAAGGAGGGCATCAGTTGAAAAAGCAATGACCGTAGTTTTTTCTCTCATATCCAGAACTAACCTTGGAATATTTTTGTCGCTCGCTGATTTTCTTGAAAATATATATGTATTTTAGATAGAACCGCCAATAACCAAAAAAATGGCTAGGTTAACAAGTAAGCTTAAAACAAACAAACAAAAAAAACAAAAGGAAACTTTCTTCAAAATTTTTGAGCAAGAGATTGAAATCAGTGTCCATCTTTGGTGTGAAAATCAATCTATATACAAAATGTGAATAAAAATACATCACCTTGACCTAAAATTAAACAAGAGAAGCAAAATATCTCTGTGGGTATGTGGGAACAAATATAAACGCGTTAAATTCGCTTGATTCTTGATAACTACTAGTCCAGGAGGTGCCACTCACTTTAAAGGAAAATTGCAAATATACGTCAATCCCCCATCCAACTGACAAAAACTTTCACACATTTGGACAATGGAGTTTGACGTCAAATAGCAATCTTTTTTCGGCGTCCACAAGGCAAATTTTTCAGGAATTTTATCCTGGAATGTATTCTTGATTAATCTCCCTAAAATGATGCGTTGGACTTGTTATGATCAAAACTGGCTCACCTTGAAATCATGACCACCAGTATAAAATATTCAAATATTATATATTTAATCAAGAACTACGAACATTCACATATTGTTACAGGAAGTGATGAGGAAATGAAAGAAAATGTGATTGGCTAATAATGGCAAACTTATCACGTGAAAAACAGATGTGCAAAATACCTTTGCATGACTCTTCCTGTTTCTCGTTCGGCCATATTATGTTGTCATTGTTATTCTCTGATAGGGAGTCAGAATCTATTCATCAAATATAAAGTGACGATCATTCATAATTATCAACCTCGTTCCCAGGGCCTTTTCCCGCCCAACCCCCAAATGCACCCCCAACTAAAGAAAAGGCCCTGGGAACGAGGTTGTCATAATTATCACTTGGTTAATGAAGCTTTATGCTAGCAACATGGAACGGGCAAGAGACCAACTGAGAAATGCCGTTTACCAGAAAGACAGGTAGCCTATGATTGGTTTTCAATAATGCAGCACGTACACAGCAATATTTGCATGACTTCTCTCCTACTACAATAACATAGTAAGGTAAGGTACTGGGTTTGGGCCCACTGTTAGCTATGACGTCAAAAAGAAACCCATTACCCCTTCCCACATTTCAAGCAGGAAACAGGGCGAGAAGGAACGCCAAGGGACTAGGCTGAGAGTAATGAGTGCATAAGGATAAAGAAAAACACAAAATTTCCACTACAAATTTATTTTTTTGAACTACCAGTACTCCATTCTGTTTCTTCCAAACTATTACCGTAGGGCAACGGATACATTTTGACACTAAAGACGCGAATGGCCACTGAGAGATTGGCGATCCTGTGACACCTTGAGATTTTAAAGAACAGATAGAAAATTTAGGAACATCAAGCAAGAAAAATCACCTCTCAATTACAAAATGCAAAGCGCATTTTTTTTAAATATCTGATTACACAATGGTTAGAGTGCTCGCTTTCATCCGGCATGACCTCGGTCCCAAATTGAAATGGCCTCACTTTCAAAATGAGGCCAAGTGCAAACAATTCTAATTGGCTTTATCAACTGAGTTGATAATGTGAATTGCCCACCGTAAAGAGTTTCTAAGGAGACGCTCCGAGCGTTAGCCCTTTGACAGAGCGATGGTGGGTTATGAGTGTGTTTATATGCGAAAAAATAGACCTACGATATTGGTGGGAACATGGCAACTAAAATAAATTATTTGAATGAAAAGCGTTCGTTGATAAAGTGGGGATAAAAATTGCCGCTTTTAAAGGGAAATTTAGAATGGTTTGAGAGATTGAATTGTCTTGCGACTGGTTTGGTCGTTAGACACTCTAATCTCCGTAATCATTCTAAGCAGGATATGGTAATCTGCGGCTTTATCCTACATCTGAATTAAGCGTGAAAGGCGCATGTCTCGTCGGCCTCTTTCTCAGATCAACAAACACACGACGAAATCTCTCTCCCATACCGCCAGCGGTTATTCCAAAACCCAGAGCAAAGGTAGCCACCGGGCCCACGAGCAGGGAACATCGGACCGGTAATGACGTAGTCAGGAACCATATTTGAAAACGGGGATCTTGTCATCGGTGGAATAGTGGGCTTGGCCAGGCTCACAGCGTCTCGAATACCGTCAATTGAGTTTCCGGATATAATTAATGCCAGGCGAAAGCCAGCGTGTGGTGCCAGGAAGACTGCGCCGGTCTGGGGAGAGGAGAATGTACAACGACCTGTCGGGCAAAAGATGTCTGAAACATAAGTGTCAACTATCTTCCCAGGGAGGTTCCATTTCTACTTCATCAAAGATATGAAAAGCACCGCGCAAAGAGGACAGAATTCGTGGGAGACACGGTGGTCTGGTGATAATCAGGTTCAAATCTGGATCGACGGGTCTGAGTTCGACATCTTGGGAAAGTCATTTTACCCTCTCCACCCAGGAGCGTAAATGGATATGGCGAACTGAGAGAGGGGAAGGTTTACTCTTCGTTGGACTAGCATCCCATCAAATGAAAGGGGCTTTGCCAGTTGTTACTATGGTATCGTGGGCTGCTAGTAACAGTTCATCTAAAACGCGTCTGAGACGATGCAGTTTCTAAGTTCGATTTGTCAAGAGACTTTCCGTAATACTTACCCAAACTCAGCGTGTTGCTCTCGTACTTCAAGGGAACTCTCTCGTGAAATTGTTTAACCCAAGAATTTTCCAGAGGACTGCCAACGAGAATCAAGTTATACTGGTCAGCGATTTCATCGTTTAAGTCAGCATCGGAAACGACTGGCGCCCACGCATCGGATGTTAAAAAGAAGAGGTTTGCTATATACACTGCAAACTGCCTCAGGGTTGTGGTAATGTGCTTCTCCACAAACGAGGTACCTGAAGAATAGGACGCTACAGATTTTAAGGCATTGACTAAATAATTGAGTGCAGAGTATGAATCATCATTGAGGTCTGAACGTGTTAAAGTCTTAGAGCGTAAGTAACACTTGTGACGTGTTGCGTGTCACGTCGCGTGTTTGCATCCGGGATGGTAGCATACGAGGGATGCGTTGGAGAAGCGTCACGTGTCACGTCCTTCAAGTAACACGTAGTTTATGCCCCGGTTTAAAACCGAGAGCTGTGTATTTCGTTCTTTCTATACCCAGTACAAACATGTAGACTTGAGAATGCATGACATGCATATAGACTTGACATGCATACTAGAAAAAGTCGTTTTAGCAAGGTGAGCGTTGTTTCCGTGAGTGAGATGAGAAAACTGTACCTTTGTTAAAGAAGAGAGCAATACTGAACTTCGCCAAAAAAAAAAAAAAAAACCATCAACAACAACAACAAACAAAAAATCGACTGAAAAATACCGGCGGTTCTTTGAACAGATTTTAGGAGAGCCACCTGACTCCATTCGTTAGAATTTTCCACCGGGGTCTGAGGTCTGAGGTCCGAGGTCTGAGTTTTCGGGGTCTGAGGTCTGAGGTCTGAGGTCTGAGTTTTCGGGGTCTGAGGTCTGAGGTCTGAGGTCTCAGTTTTCGGGGTCTCAGTTTTCGTGACACCCCCTAACAGTTGTGCTTATGGCGTGAAATCAACTACTGGCACTTTCAAACAGAAAAAAAAAAACGGTTTTCTGTGGTACAATAACATCACAGAATAAATATCAAACATAAAAGGACCAATAATGGTTTATGCTAGTTCTGTCGCAATCTGACAAGCCAATTTGCCGTTGTTAATAAAAGTACAGACAACACTGCTCGCGTCAACCTGTCACGCAACATGTCACGCACTGAGAGCATGGTTGAAAGAATGACCAAATAAGGCCACGTCGTTGAAAATAAACACAAACCGCAAATTTTTCATCACTTTCCCAGAATTTGTCACATAACGTCCGACAGATCAAAGTAAATTTTCAGAGGAAAAGATAAAACTCAGTTAAGTTCAAATGTCCTCTCTTTACTTCTACGAATTTCGTACGTCATTCGTCTTTTTTTTCTTCCACTGTTTGACAGTTCGCTAAGTTTACATTTCTAAGACTCAAATGTTTTTCCTAGTGTCAAACATCGCCCGATTTGTTGTGAATTAATTTGGATATATCAACAAAGTTGAAATGGTAAATTGGCCACCGTAATGATTATTTGTTGTGAATTAGCCTTACAGGGCAAGGGCATTTGTAGAAATGCGAGAAATACTAAGGTACACTGTTCTATCATACTTTTCTTTGCGCAAATACGTTCCTTGATTCAAATTGAATGAAACTGCATTTTATTTTCAATTACAGCCAGTTCATGACCCCGTTGAGATCAAAACAAAGAGATGTTGATCCAGCTGTTCCTGTGACTCGCTCGTAAATTCATATCATTATGCAAATACAACTTTTTGACAAAACATGTCACATAAATTAGAGAAACTTTAGCAACATTGTTGCCTCTTGAAACTCTTAGGCAAAATTCAAACTTCGGTGCGGCGCAGTGGAGTCAATCGAAATGTTCACATTTCAAACATAGGCGTATTTCCGCTAAAATATTTTTGGGTTCTCTGTCTTTCAATTTCTGAGAAAACGAGTCATCTTAAATCGACCAATTACCTTTCGAGAGTTAAACAAGGGGATTACCCTTCAAAGTACGATGCGAAACAAAAGAGCTTTGAGACAGCAGATCTGTATTTTCAAGCGAAAGGCAGCGAGAAAAAACGCCAATAATGGAGGATGAAGAAAAACTCATCGACAATAAGGGGGAAGCTCATGAAAACGAAGCTGAACGAAACAATTTCAACCTCACTCGGCGTGATGTAGCCCAAACAACAGAAGCCGAACAAGATGGTAAGATTTATACGCTGCTGCATCCTCTCGTTATTGGGTATTTCGTCTTAGCTGGGCAGTGGTTCGACCCACTGCGCTTTTATCTTGAATCTAAACTGAAGTGGACACCGTCAGTGACTAAAGTTTGTCGTTACCTATATGCTGCATGGCAAGCCACGTTGGTTGTATTTATGTGGGCTTTCTTCTTGTACTCCATGGGTTTTATAAAGGGGTTGAGAACCTTGAAAGAAGTCGACTTCCTGTGTCTGCTAACAGACATCAAGAACATGGCTTTTGGGTTTTGCTGGATCGTGAATCATCACACGGGTCTGATATTTTTCCTTGTGGGAAACTTCGAGGAAATCCTTAAGAGGCTGACCATTACCAAAGAAAATATCAAGCAAAGAGCCTCGTCCAAGTCCATCCTTCCTTTTGTTGTTGCGTCCGTCCTGTTTCTTTTTGTCCTACCACTCGGATTACACGTTTCACAAATGGTGATTCCTGAAGTCGTCCCCGTGGAGCCAAAGATCAAAGATGGAAAGATCTCAGTTAAAAATGAAACATTTTCGCGCCTTCAAGTGGTTTTGGATGGAATGTTCTACTCAATGCATCGTGCACTCGCTCTACCAGTGTTCTACGCACTCCTGTATCTGCTGTTCTTTCTCAAATGCGAAGTAAACAAGTTTAAAGAAGAGCTAGAAGATCGCCATTACCCTCGCGAAGACCTAGCTAGGAACCGTGCCATAAGGATGAGAAATCTCATCAGAGATACAGAGAAAGCGTTCCAATACTTCTTGGTCCTGTACATCACCATGCTCCTGTTGACGACAGTCCTAGATATTTTCTCCATCGTGGAGAAAGTCGAAACTGTCATAACCGTAAACAATACCGTCGAGCACTTCTTCCCTGCAAGCACTGCAACGACAAGTCTGAACACGATGGGTCTAAGTGGAACCACTATTAAAGCTATCCCTCACAGGTTGACCGGCAAACACTCCTTCCCGTACATTTTCGTGCTCATTGACCGGGGCAATCAATCCTCCCAGGGAATAGGGGGTCCCGGAGGCGGAACAATCTCCGCGTCACTTCCTCATACCAAGATCGTGATCGATCAGTATAGGATGAAGACCATAGAGATTGTTATCACCGCTGTTCTTGACATCACACAAAACGTGGTCTTATATGCGTTCCCACTCTACAATATGTCTGTTCTCAAGAGCTGTCTCGAGGAGGTTGTGGAGGTCGTGCAAGACAGCGATTATGGCGACCAAGACGCCAACAGGAAAATCTTCGTCACACGCCAAGACAAAAAAGATTTCAAGGTATTCTTCAAGGATACATGTACCTCCGGAATTCGTGTGCTCGGCAAAGAAGTCAACTTTTTGTGGACCCTGGTTATAACATTTTTTGGTCCTTTTGCTGTGGTTGTTGTAAATCTGATGTTCAAACATATCCACATTGAAACTCCTTGGCATTAGTGCAAATATAAGAAAACGAAAGAGTTGGGTTCACTACTTTTCCCATCTGATCAAACTCTGGTAAATGTAATGAACCAAGAGAACAATTGTGTAGAATATAAGACCATAGGCGATCATGGAGAAAGCTTGTCACGTTGCATTAGCGCAAATAAGAACGCAAACACCATTCCATAGGGATGTCACGCAGCACTTCAACCTCTCGTGACCCTTTTTTGAGGAGAATTTCGTGACATCCCACAGGAGAATGGGCTAGGAAAGCTGATCGCGCTGCTAAGCAACGTTCCTTCCCAAAATTAAGTTGAAAATAAAAGGAAGTAAATCGTAAGTTTTGTATTGAAAACCTGTAATCTTCACAATCCCAAAGGGAAAACAATTATAAATGCCGCAAATTGTGTATCTGCTTTCAAAAAATAGCAAAATATTAGGGCACAGTTTCATTTGACTTCCTAGCCAATGAAGTACTGTATGGTGGCCGAGAACTACCACTAAAAATATTCAAATTTATAGGAATTATTTTTGTTATTTTTTTTAATTTCGGTTTATTTCTCATTTTTTTTTCTTTTTAAAATAAAAGCAAGTGAAATCGACGAAGGGTTAAGAATCAACACTTACTTTAGTTGATCATTTCCTTTATTCTACTGACCTTCATGTGTGATTCAAGGCCAAGGGCACAGCCAGGGGGGGGTCCTGGGGTGCCCGTGACCCCCCCTTGGTAGGCCTTCTTTAGAGCAAACAACCTACAATATTCAGGTGGCGAAAACGCCATGACAATATCTTGGCCGTAAAAGCCATTGTTGAAAAGCCCACTTTTTTAAAATTTGTTTCTTTTGTAAAGTATTTTCGTCAACGGCTCTTGTATTTCGTTAATATGGGCCTTCATGCTGCGAGAATACGACTGAGTCCGCGCCAATACACGCGGGAGAGCAGCGGTGTAAGTGGTGAGTAGCCTCTGTGACCCCCCCCCCCTTTGAAAACTCCTGGCTACGCCCCTGAGGGGTGATATTGTAAGGGGAAATTAGCTTATCTCGTGACTATCCTGTGACTTTCACGCTCAATAAATTAAACATACTACGTCACAAGTAACTACAACAATTTTACAGAACGTATCACACAAATCAAAATACTTGACTGGCGATTATCATCGTTGATTCACAAAACTTTTACAGCAAAATTCAATTTTGCCGTGGACAACGCTCAACTGTTCTCCAATCGGTTTGCTAAATGACAAAGCGAACCCTCTCGTTAATTTATTCAGTCTCGCTAGATGAGCAATAAACAAAGATTGTGCACGGTTAAGGAACTCAAAATAAACAACGGCATTGTTGTTTCATCTTTGATATTTGCCAGCTTTCCTTCCAGAAACACCTACTGACTATGCATGTCCATTCGCATTGCGCATTGTCTTCACGATGGAACCTTATATAGGGTTCACTGAGTTTCATTTTCTAAGAAAATGAATCATTTTTAATGATCATGACAAATTACGTTTCGAGAGCGGAATGAGGGGTTTTTCCCTCAAACAAACTGTGCTAAACAAAAGAACGCAAGTTACTGAATAAAGCAGAACTACTTGTGTCCACTGCCGAAAACGAAACGGCTAAAAGAACGCTAACAATGGCCAACCTCCTTGGAAGAGAAAATCTAGGATATGAAGAAGCAGAAGTCACACAAGATGGAAGCATTTATAGGCTGCTGCATCCTCTCGTTGTTTGGTATTTCGTCTTTACTGGCCAGTGGTTTGACCCAGTGCGCTTTTATCTTGAAGCTAAACTTAAGTTTTCAGCATCAGCGACTAAAGTTTGTCGTTTCCTATATGCTGCATGGCAAGCCATGATGGTTGCATTTATGTGGGCTTTCTTCGTGTACTCCATGGGTTTTATGGGGTTGCGAACTTTGCAAGAAGTCGACTGGCTCTGTCCGCTAACAGACATCAAGAATATGGCTTATGGGTTTTGCTGGATCGTAAATCATCACACAGGTTTGATATTTTTTCTGTTGGGAAACTTCGAAGAACTCCTGAAGGGGCTGACCATTACTAAAGAAAATATCAAACAAAGAGCCTCGTCCAGTTCCATCCTTCCGTTTGTCGTTTCGTCCGTTCTATTTCTTTTTGTCGCACCACTTGGATTGCACATTGCACAAATGGTAATTCCTGAAGTCATACCGGTCGAGCCAAAGATCAGACATGGAAAGCTCGCGATTAAAAATGAGACTTTTCCGCACCTTCAAGTTGGTTTTGATGGAATGTTCTTCATCGCACATCGTGCACTCGCTCTACCAGTGTTCTACGCGTTCCTGTACCTACTGTTCTTTCTCAACTGCGAAGTAAACAAGTTTAAAGGAGAGCTTGAAGATCGCCATTACCCTAGCGAACACCAAGCTAGGAAGCAAGCTAAAAGAGTTAGAAATCTCATAAGGAACACAGAAAAAGCGCTCCAAGTTTTCTTGGCTCTGTACATCGCTATGCTTTTGTTGGCAACATCCTTGGAGATTTTCTCCATCGTGGAGAAAGTCGAAACTGTCATAACCAATAACCACACGACGTATTCGTTCATAACCGCAAGCTCTACAACGACCAGTCAACAAACCATGGGCCTAACAGGAGACGTAGTAAAAGCCATTCCTCACAGATTGACCGGCAAACACTCATTCCCTTACGTTTTTGTACTCATTAACCAGGGTAATCAATCCTTCCCGGGAACAGGAAGTTCCGGAAATGGAATGCCTTCCTCAATACTTCCTCAACGCAAGATGGTGATCGAGCAGTATAAGATAAAGACAAGTGAGATTGTCATCACCGCTGTTCTTGACATCACGCAAAACGTGGTCTTATACGCGTTCCCACTCTACAAGATGTCTGCTCTCAAGAGCTGTCTCGAGGAGGTTGTGGAAGTCGTGCAAGACAGTGATTATGGCGACCAAGACGCCAATAGGAAAATCTTCGACACACGCCAAGACAAAGAAGATTTCAAAGCTTTCTTCAAGGATACATGCACCTCCGGAATTCGTGTGCTCGGTAAAGAGGTCAGTTTTCTCTGGTCCCTAGTGATAACAGTTTTTGGTCCTTTTGTTGTGGTTGTTGTAAATTTGATGTTCAAGCATATACATGTTGAGACCCCTATTCATTAGCACAAATAAAAAAGCAAAAGGATACTAAATTTTTCAATGGTTTCTCGTAGCCGTTCATGCCGAAACTCCTTTGCATAAGCATAAAAAGAAGAGCGAAAAAGGTACCCATTCCTTTGAACAGTTGTAATTATAGCTTAATAAGTGGAAAAAATAGAGAGGAACCAGAGTACATTTGCGTAGGATATTAGGCCATTCCTGGTGAAAATCTTTGGGGGACCTTTAGGGATCTCGTCTGAATCTTCAAAGGTCTTAAAAAGATCTTGTCAAGCATTTCAAAGATCCTTAAAAGATCTTGGCAAGAAAATAAAAGATCCTTCAAGATCTGGGCAAGAAAATGAAAGATCCTTAAAGATCTTGGCAAGAAAATGAAAGATCCTCAAAGATCTTGGCAAGAAAATATACAATCCTTGAAGATTTTGGCATGGGAATAGGAGATCCTCAAAGATCTTGGTAAGAAAATGAAAGATCCTTGAAGATCTTGGCAAGAGAATGGAAGATCCATAAAGATCTTGGCAAGAGAATGGAAGATCCATAAAGATCTTGGCAAGAAAAATACAAGATCCATAAAGATCTTGGCAAGAAAACAGGTTTACAGAAAGTACCTCAAATATGAACTTCGACGAGAAAGTGTCACATAATTTATTTACAGCGAAAACTTTCTATGGAAAATTAACGTAAGTTTGCTTCTCTGTCATTTCCACATATAATTAATTTGTTACTTCATTGGTTGGAATCAATTCTATAAATTAACAGCAACAATAGAGTAATAATTGCTGTAAAAGAAGCAGATACTGTTCATTGTCGTTATATGCATAAAAGAACGTTTGACCGTTTGCTCCACGATGTAGAGCGAGGCTGACAATTGTATTAATCGCGAGGTTTCGACCGCGATATCGCTGACCTACATAAGGCAATGAGATCAAAGGTTTATGTTGTAATGCAAAAGGGTCCTAGTAAACCGGTAGGGATACACACCGGTTGGTCAATTTTTGCTGGGTATGTGCCAATGGCCTCTCAGAACCGCTAGCTAATAATAGCATATTCTATGGCCAATTATACACCCCATCTTAGTCACTATTGCGCAAACTTAACAAATTTTTAACCGCGAATCTTCCCATTTTTAAATCCCTAGCTGCCAGAATTTTCTTACCCCAAAAATCCCAAAAATCTGCGACCCAGTGTTCAAGTGACTCTATTGGAAATGCACCCCCCTTACAGTCGATCCAGTCGCTACATCCCCACTAGCCTCATTCAGAAGTTTCTCCCCTTCCTGGGGCAAATTTGGCAATTTAATGCCGATCAAAATTTTTAATATAGTGTACCACAAACTAAAACAGGATCAAAGGAGGATGTTACAGTTATCTTTATCCAGCAGATGAAGTTGTTCATGTGTATACAATGCTATATAATTAAACACTGCTTTGCAAAATTGTTTTTTATTAATAATACGTGCTCACCTGTAACTATTAGAAAGGGTCCCTCGGCAACCCTCCTCGCAGGACCCATATTGACAGGGCCTCTCATGAGTTTGGACTCAAGCACTGCATCTTGACAAGGCTCCCATGAGTGAACATCAGATTTGCACAGAGAAATGATACACTCTTGGCCAGCTTTGCAGTACAGGAAAAAAAAAAAAACAGTCACACAAGCTTATTAAACATTGGTAAAAAGAAAGAGTCAAGATTTGTAACTCTTCACATATAATAAAGCTAACGGCTCCAATCACAACAAAAAAGGTCTGCATACAAGACTATCTTGCATCACTTCACAAATTTTCACCAGGTTCTTTAGCATGACGAGATTACAAAAATTTGACCACATCTCCCCAGACAGTTCACCCCTTCCCATGTATGCTTCTGGATGAGAGGCTCTATGAGAGTGAAGTACAAGACTGTTTTCCATCACTCCATGAATTTTTATTAGTTTCTGTGGAAGGATGACACGTTAAATTTGATCACATCTCTCTTACAGTTCACTGGTACACTTATATGCTTCTTGGTGGTGAGAAGCACTGCGTGGGCAAAGTGAATTGCCACAGGACACTACACAATAATCTGGTCAGAGATAGAACCCCAGACCTCTTGATTTAAAGGCGGGTAAGTTCTAAAGAAACCGTGGTGACCAATTCCAATTCCAAGAACACCTTTAGGGCATAAAAAGGAATGACAAGGACATATCAAAACTAGTCACAAGACACGTTAATCTATCTAATCATTCTAAGCAGCATATGGCAGTATGCAGTCTTTCCTTATGTTTAGGTATAGCTTGGAAAGCTGCAAAACTCTTGAACAAAAGTTTATCTTTCAAATCGGCACTCTTAATCCCACAGGTATCAATGAATGAACGCTTTTCATTCGACTTATTCATTGTTTTTTTTGTGATCACCATGTTCCCACCCATAGCGTAGCTCCTCTTTCTGCAAGTAAACACACACACACAACCCACAATTCATCCATTCGCTCTGGTGAGGGGCTAAAGCTCGAAATGTCAACTTTTGAACTCTACCTTGGCCAATTTACAATTTCAACTTAGTTAATAAAACCAAATTACCAGCAGCACCTCGGTTTCTTTAGGAACTTACCCCCTTTATTCTCTTGATTTCAACTCTACTTGTATCTCACTACACACAGGACCACAAATTTTTTCCAAATGCATCAATTTATTCACCTTACCTTGATATTTCAGACCACTGACCACAGTTCCATCAACCTCAACTGATCTTTGATGCCACAATACAGGAGAGATGGAAGGCTCTTTAAGACAGATCCTTGCAACATTTGCAGTGCTCATGACAACTGAATTCCAACTGAAGAAAATATCAATTGAACTTTTATGGAAAGGGATGATCTGTTGCATGATACGCACACCTCTCAAACCTTGAAGAAGAAGAGAGAGCCTGTAATCAGATAATTTAACTTTATTGAAGGTTGTTGGTAAGATAAAAGGCAAATGCAATTGTACACCCCTGGGGGCCTTATGGGATTCCAGAGGGGGAGCTTATTGAGGGGGGGGGGTTCCCATTTACTAGAAAGGAAGTCTTATCCGAGAGGAGGGTTTATCGGAGAGGAGGGGACTTGGTGGAAACTTGAGGGTCTAGACAAAGGCTGTCATTATAGAGAGGAGCTACAGAGAAATTCAGAACTCTGGAGTGAGAGCTTTATTATAGAGGAGACTTATCAGAAGCTTGAAGCTCTCAGCTAAGGAGGTTATTTTAGAGGAGATGTATAGGAAACTTGTAGGGTTTTATTAAGAAGATCATTTGAGAAAGGGGCCTAGTAGAAATTTGAAGCTCTGACAAGGGGGTGGGCTATAAATAAAGAGGGGGTGTTTTGAAGGTTGAAGCCCTAGACACAAAGCTTGTTAGAGAAAAGAGGGAGGGTAAAGAGCATTGGCTATGAATCTAAACAACACTTTTCACCTTTGAAAGCAAGCCTTCAGCACCTAACCTGTGTTTGCAACTGGGTTATAAACAGTAAGCTGAAACTTCCCATTCCCTGCAGTGTTTCTATCTGTTCTTTGGTCAGAAGAGGATTTGTATTTCTCTGTTGTATCAGCTGGACTGCATTCTTTATCTTTCTTGCAGTGACCTGGATGAACAAAATAGTGAGAGTAATTACACCAGTCAATTAAAAGTAACTGTGTTATGTTTTTTTATTTGAGTTAAAATAACTTGAAGTCTACCTCAAGCACAATAATATGGTCCTAGTTATCAAAAAAAAAAATATATAAATAAATCCACAAAAAAACCAGTTCACAACATCAAATATTTATTTCCCTTTGATTAATATCATTACTCTGATATTGTAAAAAAGAAATAAAAAAAACCTTGAACTAAAATTTCTAACTTGCAAGTGGAGAGACAACGGCAGCACTCTTTGCATGGTCCACAGCAAATTTCCTTATGATTGGATCATTTACAACGCCTCCATCATTTGTCTTGTAAGTATCCCACCACCAGTGTTCTTTGTCTACTATCTCAGAGTATGTGACATTGGTCCTCTGCTCCCGCAACAGACGGAACATGCGACGTGTGAAGTAAGGGTGCACTGTCCTATCAGCTGCTCCAATTCGTATCATAACTGGCACTCCCTGGAAATGAAAATTAGGATATCACCTTTCCTGTACTCCTAAAACAAACAGTTCTTGCCAAATAATTACAGGTTGAAGTACGGTAATTCAATAGCAGTAGTTTTACGTGGTGCCCTTTACTATACTGCATGAAGTGGCTTGCATCTAATTTCTCTATACCATACAACTCCTGATTCCCACATTAAGGTCAGGACAATAAAGGAAATGATCACCAACAAAAAAAAGCTCTTGGGTTGTTAAACAAATTCTCCTCATCAGCATTCTTGGAAATGCATAGAGAATAGTAGAGAGAGCTGGCATACTGGTAAGGGTGTAAAGAGTTAAGTCTGTGAATGAAACCCTAGTTTGTGATCATTTAAATGAAAGCTACTGTGAAGGTCTATCGTATAGGACTGTTTACTATGCTTTACAATGTGGTTGCAACTTTGAAACTGTGGATGAAACCCTAGTGTACATGTGACTATTAAACTATAAGTTACCACGCAGTACTCTCATTATTAGATAGTTGGATTGCCCATATTGATCCCCCACAAGAAAAAAAGTGTATGGAGTGGACTTTCAAAGTTTGTAATTTTTGGATAATGTCAGGGATGAAGTCACGTGTGTTTAAAAGTCAGGTGCATGCTTGGGATTGCCCATGTTGATCCTGCACAAGAAAAAAAGTGCATGGAGCGGACTTTCAAAGTTCGGAAGTTTTGGATAATGTTTGGGGATGAAGTCACGTGTGTTTAAAAGTCTGGTGCATGCTTGGGATTGCCCATGTTGATCCCACACAAGAAAAAAAGTGTGTGGAGTGGACTTTCAAAGTTCAGAATTTTTGGATAATGTCAGGGATGCAGTCATGTGTGTTTAAAAGTCTGGTGCATGCTTGGGATTGCCCATGTTGATCCTGCACAAGAAAAAAAGTGCATGGAGCGGACTTTCAAAGTTCAGAACTTTTGGATAATGTCAGCGACAAAGTGACGAGTGTTTAAAGTCTGGTGTAAGATGGTTAAATTGATTAACCCCTGACATCTTAACATCAATGTGCATATTCTCCATACTCTTCTCTGTACTTTTCCTTTCAATTGGTAATGGCAAGGAGAATTTGTTCAACAATCAAAGCTTTTTAGGTAGGTGATCATTTCCTTTATTCTCATGATCTGAATGAGTGATTCAGCAGTGTTACTGTTGGGAGAAATTGAATGCTGATCACTCCTAGGAGTTTAGAGGGTTAACCCTTCAACAGAATTGATTAACATGTAACTTCTCCCTATAATATCCCTACATGATCCAGCAAACAGGTAATGAGAATACTCAAACTTGTCAGGTAGAAGTTGTTACCTTGATTGAACATCAAATTCTTGTAACCAATTTACAAGGAAATGCATAGCAGCTAGAGGGGAGAATTCATAATCAGATCTTGGGAGTTAAAGAGTTAAAGTGAATATGACACAAAATTTTTTTCTCTTGATTCTTGTAGTTGGATATCTACAGGAAATGTTTTGAAGCTTTAAAAGTGCTGGAAAAATGTAAAAAGCATTTTTTTTTTGCCTTAAAAATACGCGTAATTTGCCTTCAAATTTGTCCCGGAGACTGGGATTTAGTTTATTGCCGTCGAAGTTATTTGTGACATCACATCAAGTTGTGTACCTTTGCCGCAAAGGTCTGTTGTTGCCGAGAGGATTCTGCAGTACTTCGTAGTAGATAGATAGTGCATGGAAAGGCAAAGATGTCCAGTGATTTGAATGATTCCTTTGAGTCTGACTCTTCTGAAAGTTCCATTGACTTTGAAGAATCTGGGTACACAATGTGACGTCACATACAGTTTTGGCCACATGATGACCGGGACAAATTTGAAGGCAAATTGTGCGTATTTTGAAAGCAAAACAAATGCTTTTTAGATTTTTCCAGCACTTTTAAGGCTTCGAAACATTTTCTTTAGATATCCAACTACAAGAAACAAGAGATACAAAAATTCGCATCATACGCACTTTAAGGCCTAACAGACCTATACCATCAGACCCCTAGAGGGAGAGATGTTTAACACTAGAAACATACATGTAAATTTGATACATGCTTGTCGGCATCATTTTCTGCTGTACAAGCCTCTAGTATACTCTTCACTGATGGAGAAGTATGACTCGTGCTGATGTCATGACGAAAGAACAAGTTGGAGTCACCATAATCTTCTTTCTTGATCCATCCAGCTGCCGATACTAAGGCCAGGGCATTGTCTGGATAGTGGGTACCAAGCTGCCTAATGAAAACAAAAAAATGAAAAGTGGAAAAAAGTGTACCAAGTGGCCTTGTTAAAGTTTGTAGCTCATATCCACAGCTTGCAGTTCATCCTTATTCCAGTAACAGCTAAGGGCCACTCTATTACATTTCCTTGTTCCACTAACAGAAAGCTTCTAGGAGTACTCTGTTACTTGTCCTATGTTGATCTGCCAATCCATAGCAGGTAACCCCCATAGTTAGTCAAGTTTACCCTTGAAAAATTCCTTGTTTATTTCTGCACCTGTGGGTGGACAGAGGGATAGGGACCGAACGAAAAAAAAAAAAAAACCGGTTTACGGGCCAGTGGCCCATCAGGCCAGCACTTAACTCTGGTTTCTGCAGCATGAAGCGACTAAGAGTATTTCTACTCCCCCCTGGATGGGATGCTAGTCCATCACAGGGTTACACCCCAGCATTAAATTTGCCGGTACCCATTTATACACCTGGGTGGAGGGAGGTACTGTGAGAGTGAAGTGTCTTGCCTAAGAACACAACAGGATGTCCCCGGCCGGGGCTCAAACGCAGACCACTCAATCCGGAGTCAAGTGCACCAACCATGAGGCCACCGCGCCTCCACACAGGCACCAAAGAAGTAAGAGCATAATGCAATGACCTTAGTCACTGGAAGCTCAAACCTAACCCTTTCACTTTCACAGTCCAGCATGGTAACACTAGGGCTATCAGGCACTTCCCACCCACAACTCCTTGATATGATTTAAAAATTCCATATCTTATCTCCTCATTATAAATAACTCACAACTGTTCAATTTCTTACCATGCTCCATGTCCACCCATGGAATGCCCTGCAAACACGACTTGGTTTTCATCAGCTTGAGGTCCAATCCATGGTGCTTCTTTGGTGAGCTTGGCTAAGCTTCTAAGGGCCATCATAGCTGTAAGCTCTCCAGGCCCTTCCCAGTTATGTGCCCCATGTCTAGTGGGTGCCACAAGCCACAGATGGTCAACACCAAACACCCACTTCCCATTCTCCATGCGCTTGTAGCTGTCTGCCTGATTTTGAGGAGGCACCGCTACAAAAGAAAGGTAAATAAATAATTCAACTTGTATTATTTCTTTGCTTACAGTATTTTCCTGAATCCCTTGTAGTTGAAGCTTAAAAGTTGTAAATTAACTGAAAATAGAAACAAGTTTTCCTTGTATCCCTACTTACTGTTTAAGAAATTGAGAAAGGACAGAGGGGGAGGGCAGTATTTACTCAAGAGGGGTGTGAGGGTTCTTTTTTTTTGATATTACAGCTTATTTGGGGAAAGGCGCTCAAAAGAGTGCAGGCACCTAATTGAGTAAAATATATAGAATTTGAGCAATTGCTGTAAAAAAAAAAATTGTGTCTCTGAATTGTAGTTTGGATAATCTACCCCCCTTTCAAGATTACTGTATCCACCACTGAAATTTACTCAGACCTTCAGACCCTGAGTCCAGTATATTAGACATTAGACCAATGAATTCTTTAAAATAGATCTCCCATAATGATTTAAACATTTCAATTCTCTCTTTTTACACATACTTGTACCATGCAGTGTCAGCAGAGAAGGACAGACTCCTGAAGGACAACTTGTTAAGGGAACAATGGCTGCACCATGCTGAACTGAAGCATCGTGGTCAAGAAATGTAAACAAAAATGATTGGCTTACTTTGCGGCATCTAAGATTTATTGTGATTTTTTGATCTGGTCCTTTATTGGTGCTAACTTTTAACAGAAGTTTCACATCAGAACAAGTGTCATCATCCACTCTTTGCTGCTTTCCATTTTTATATTCTAGAACAACTTTAATTGGTCGCACTTGCCCAGGAGCTATAGCAAAAGCTTTGTCTTCAGCTGTCAACTTCACAGAAAATTGTAGACTGTAGGAAGATTCTTTGACCGTAGAAACTTTGGTCACTCTTAGCCAATTAGAGCTATGTAAATTGTTAATGGGAATAGAGATAAATGTTGAGAAGAGCTTTCCATCCACAAGATCAGGTGAAAAAGAAGGAGACAAAACTAGGAAAGTTTGTTTTGTCTCTAGAAGTTTAATAGTATAGGTGAATGCTATGGATCCTTTGGTCCTTAGATGAAGATGTAGAGTGTGAATTCCACGTGATAGTTTAATAGATGACCTGCAAAACAGTGGAAGAGTATCGGATCTTGGCTAGATTTATTCAAAAAGTAAAGCTAGCTGTTTGCCTGGCTTTGGGTATACTAGAATAAAACACACACAGAGTAAAAATTAATGTGATCAATAAAATTTGAACTGACATGCTTATATCACATTTTTATAGGGCTTTAAAATAACTTTAAGCTTGTCTCGTCTAGATTTGCTATTACGTTTTAATGAAACAAGGAAAAAGAAGAATTTATTAGTTAAAAGAACCAGTTAGAAAAATTTCCCTGAGAATTTTGCTAAATTTAATGATTGGTGGTAAACACTGTGTTTAGAAACTGTTTGTACCATCAAACCTCAACACTTGTATACATGCCTATTCTCAAGACTGTTCACTGTTCATTTCCTATTGAGCCGACTAAGAAAATCATGTTTAAGAATCAGGAGCTATGTTAGTAAGGAGTTCGTGATGGTAAAAGACTAGCTAGCTCACCAAAACTGATCTCTTCTATAAACATCTCCTGTCAAGACAGAATCATCAATATATAGAGTATGCACCCCAAGGCATTGCACCAATACCGTGACATCATCTTCATTGACAAAAAAATCCCCTAGGACCCATCCCTGCCATTCAGTTATTCCCATTGATTGTAAAGACATCACTAAATCATTCCAGTTTACAGGTGGTGCAACAGCTACTGGTTCTGTAGCTGTTTTTTGACTGATTTCCATCCACCTAATCTCTCCTCCAGGCACTAGCTCTGAGTACAAAAAAAATTTCTTATCCCATCTGTATTGTGAAATATTCTTGACCCCACCCCACTCTTCCACAGGATCTCCATCTACTTCTCCCTTGCCAATAACAAATGGTCCGATAAAATGCCACTTCTGTATAAATTTCGACAATTTTCCACCCTGCTTTGAAGCTTCCTTGAAGCATATGTTGGCTGCTTTGATGTTGCCTCGTAATTTCTGATACGACTCTCCCAAAACGTTCCACAGAAAGGCATCATTTGATTCCTTTAAGGCCTTTAGAAGGCAAGACATGAGCTGGTCGTTTGATTTCTTGGCCCTTAGATTCATGATGTGATCTTTTTTGGTGTTTTTGCAGGACACCTTGGACCATTGTTGACCTTCCTTTTCCAAGAAATCCCGCGAGGAAGTCCAAGTTGAACTCTTTTTTGATTTCGAGCTCAAAGAAAAATCAATAAAAGATATTGCGCTTAAAAAAATTAAGAATCGGGCGCAGTGCCTAATTAATCGCATTTTAAGGTATTAAAGAAATAGAGCGCAGTGGAGAAATAAAGCACGGTGGCTAAATAAAATCCGGAGGAAAAAACGTGGCATTCCAACCAGGCGTTACTTGTTTAGAATATCATTTGCCCCTGGGACTGGGACTAGTAGACTTTTTCTCTTGGAAGGGGAGGGTACAGTTTAATTCTTTTTTTCCGATTTTGGGGCCGATGTTGGCTTAAATTTATATGCAACTTGTTTTAAATGAGTAATGTTCAAAATTTCATGAAATAAAATGCGATCTGTTTTACATAAAGATGTAAATTATCTAGGGTAAGAAACTCCTTAGTTTCATTCTTCGTCGTGATACGAGCAAAACTAAAAGACCAATCGTAACTCCCAGAGACTTACACGTGACTAGGCTCAGCTGGAGCTTCTTCGCATTAATGTATTTGGGTTCTCAACACTACGAACGTTTCACGCAAACTAAATTATAAACGAAGAATTCACAGTTGTCTTTATTCACCATGTCATCACCTCCGAAAGATAAAGATAAAGAATTAAAAGCTGGTCATCCGCCAGCAGGTCTGTTGAAAACTTTCTCCTGAAAACAATTGGTTACCGAGTCGTGGCCATGAGAGACGGTCGTAAAAATTCGCAAAATATGATTTACAAATATTTTTTTGAGTAATTCAATTAATTTAATTTGCAGTCAAGGCGGGAGGAATGAGAATAACTTCAAAGCATCATCAACCTCAGCATCCAGCGCCGACACCTGAAGAGAAAGCCGAAGAAGAAGAATTCGCGGAGCCTAAGGAAAAGTGAGTGACGTACCAGTACGTGTTTTGCCCCCGCAAGTACAAATACGTGTTACGAATATATCCGAAATCGTGTCACTTACAACGAAAAACTTTCGCTAACGACTTAAACGTTTATACTTTACTTTACTCCTTTCATTATTTCGATAAAAGGATTTTCTAAGGTCGAGTTGTATTTCCTTCCGAAATATAACACCAGCAGTTTCTCCACGTGCCATGTTTCACGTTTGTTGCGTGACTATCGTGCCAAATTATTTTTTGCGTTGCGTGACAATTAATTAGAACCATGGTGACAAATACTGTTAAGTTTTCGGCAAAAAGCTCTTCAAGAACCTGGAAGAGTGTTTTGAGTTTTGCAGCATTTAGCAGCCATGTTTCTCCAAACAATTAAAATTTGTTCAGCTGAGGCCATGTGATAAAAATATTTTGACCCCCATTTCCTGACTGACTATACTTTGATATGGAAAAGTGATCACAACTCTTGTCTGTTTTTCTTTATTTGTGATAGTGCTTGGTAAGTTATACAATACTCACTTGGAGATAGAAAGGATTACCAATGACTGAATTTTATTTCAGGGTCTCAGATCAGAAAGTTGTCGTCTCAGGAGTGTTGACAAAGGGAAATGCTGACTTTAAAGCAGATGCTATTAAGGTGGCCCATGAGAAGCCCATGCCGCAACATGAAAAACGACCCGCTGGTGGTGGGGGAAAGACCACAGCAATGCACATTCAACAACCAAGGAAGCAGTAGAGATTTTAAAATTGAACCTAACCAGAAAAATGAATTATCAACTCTTTGTGAACAAAAAACATTCCATATTTGGTACTTAGTGTTTTCTTTTCTTTTTGTGTTACCCAAGACTGCTTTACACACTTAAGTTTAAAGGGTAAATATGTTTAGTAACTCTAATGCATGTTGCCTCATTCCTTATGCACTGCGTTCTAAAAATTAACAAATTAATTGAACTTCCAAAGTTGTTGACACCCCAGTTAAATGACTGCTAGAAGTTAGACAATCTGCAAACTTCATTACATTCAGGTAATTCCCTAGTAAACTGATGTGTCTCATGAACACGATAAAAAATAATTTTATCATTCAACTCCTATCCTTTTCCTTAAAATGAGATAATGAATTTGTGTATGCTGTGGACAAAATGTCTCAATAAATGAGTAACTATAAATAAAATTAATAACGTTGTCACCCAGTTCTTTTTTGTCATATATCACTTTAACATGCAAGTTTATGCTACAGTGTAAAAGAGCTATTGGTGATTAGCGATTTTTAATTGCTAGGCAAATGAGGAAACATGCAAGTTTATGCTATGGTGATTAGCTATTTTTCATTGCTAGGCAAATGAGGAAACACATTCTGAGGGGAAAAAATTCCTTTATTTTTACTCAGAGAAAACAAATTCAAAACACTCATTCTTGCAAAAATTATTTAAAAAAAAAACAACTTGGAAACATTTCATTTACTGAGAGTATCAGTTTAGGAATCTGCATGCCCAGTATGTACAAAATAGAAGCAAAGACAACATCTTAATAAAAAAGAAAGTCTTGGTTGTATGATTCCCCACTAACTTCTCTTATATTTACTGAGCAATTTCCAGACAGCTCTTTTTACATCACAGAAAAATAACAAAAAGTGGGTTAGGTTTTCAAACATCAATTTAAAATCACAAAATATGCAAACTCTAACATGAAAATAGTCTGAAGAGTTTATTGCCTTGAAAATGTACAGTTATATGTCAGAAAACAACATCGCATAATAACATTCTTTGTATCAATAGTTGCTCAGTTATCTTCACCACTGCATCATGTAATCTGTTGACTGAGATAAATGAGAAAAAGGATTCCTAAATGGATAATCATAGCATTAAATTCAGAAAGATATTTCCTGTGTTATCACTCAAACTCTGGATATACTGTCCATTATGTTTTCCTGGGCATTGACTTGAAATTGTGCCACAGTAGTCTAACCTCAGCTATCAACTTTTAACTCTAGTCTGTTCAGAAATATGACCCTGTCATAATCAAAATTTGAGTAAAGCTCAACACTTGAAGTCTGCATATATAGGTGATTCCCATAGCTGCTTCAGCATGGCTGACTTTCTGCTAAATGAAGCAGTTTATTAAGACAGTAGTATTACCAATGCAGGATAGTAAGTGTGTGTTTGGTAAATTATAGGCAATTAACATGATTCTCTCAAAATTGCAGGTACCTAGTTATATATTACATTTCAAACTCTTGTGCCGAATGTAACGTGGGAAGGATTTATACAAGGTTCTGAGTCTGACAGTCCCCCCCCTAACAAGTGGGATGAAGAGATTCTGGTCACAGAAGCAGCTCAACACCAGCATCTTTTGTGACAGTCCTAAAATGACGTCCCACCCTTTGTGCACAGGTCAAGTGGGCTGCAATCAGCTGTTACAAAAACAAAGCTTAGTGTCTCTTATTTTCAACCTGGGCTAATATCCTACTCTATGTGCTCCTCTTTCCCACTTTCACTCTTGCATAATATGTTATTTTTCCTCTGAAAAAACATACCCTACATGTATCTTTGTATACTAAGGGAAAAAATAAAGTACAAATTACAGGGAGGGAGAAAATGGGTGGTTTTTTTTTTTCAAATCAGGTGGTAATATATGGAGAATGAGGATATCATATGCTTGTGAACAGATAGTCTCAACAGGTTTTGTTTGTGATTATTAGTTGGACAAGTCACCATGATGGTAATGAAATTTGCCAAAGAAACAACAAAATAACCTTAGCTAGGGCTTGCATCTGGACCCTTCCTTTCAGCACCCATCATGTCCATCTCTATGTCCCTAGCTCCCCTACTAACCAGTGCACAACTTCATTTGTAAGGACTTACCGAAAATCTATTCTGAGTTCTTGCTTTTCTTGCTTTCGCTACTGCATCTAAGTAAGGGTCTGTGATAACAATTTCTTTGCTGCTGGAACCACGACTACTACCCATGGCTAATCCTTGGTACGATGAGTTTGGACTGGTATTGCTTCTTATGCCGGAACTGAAAGGACTGCGTAGGTTTTGACTGCTTCTGTTTTTCGGCAACTGAAAGGGAACAAGTGGATACAGAGTCTGTCCATGGGGCATTGGAAATCAGTGCATTCTCTCGACTGGCTACTTCATAGAAATCTCTGGCTAGATTTCAACAGAGTGGGTCACAAGAAAAAAATTCAGATGTGGAGCTGTTCTGTTCTGTTCATTCACTTGCTACTCTGTTAATTAGTGATTAAGCCTTTGGTTCCTGGGTGATAAGAATGTAACTTCTCATAACAGGACCACTCCAGTCATAAGTATTACAGAAATCAGATCACCAAGTAAAGAAGCTCTTGATTGTTAAAAACAAATTCTCTTTGTCAGCACCTTAGGAAATGTATAGAGAACAGTATGGAGAATATGCATACTGATGTTAGTGTCTCAAGGTTTAACTTTTGTCACAAATGTGGAGCATGTCTAGGGCTCCTGTAAGAATGTCAACCTGTTCCACTTTCAGATTTCATAGAAAAATGCTCCCTCGGGACTTTATGTATTTAAAAATTTGTTTCTTTCTCTTTCAAATTGTAAAGCGCTTAGAGGCTTGCCATAAGAACTATATAATTTGTTCAATTTATTATAATTTAAGGACTACAAGGTAAAAAATAATGGTTATGTATTGCATTTGCTTTGTATTTCACACCTTGCAGCACTTCAGTGGCTAAGAAATCAAAGAAAATTGTGCCCTAATATTTTTGCTACATATTAAAGTAGTAACGTACATAAATGTCAGAATTTACCTCGTGAGACAGTTAATGTACATATACATACATACAGTCATACACTTTATTTGGTATAGCAGGTTAAATTAAGGCAGCTAAAAAGAGCTGATGTGGACCTGCTGTTATCAAAAACAATTTACAATCACAATATAGAAATTAATAAATAGATAAAACCACATGAATGAGGAAAGTCTACTTGACATATTTTTCCCTTTGAACATCTCAACAGCCAATTTACACTTGCAAGTATGTCCAATTGCAAGGTTTTGCCAGCACACATACTGTAGTACATCACAATCCATAATGTTCTTTGGTACCTTATGAATTCTTTTAGCAGCTTTTATATGCAATTCTTCAATTTACACAAATGTAGCAGGAGAGCAGCTTCCCCACACTGATATGGAGAAGGTAACTTGTGGGATAATGCAGGTCTTAAAGTATATTTCTCCAGTACCTTGGATGGGAGCTGTCTCATTCTTTTTAGTATACTGATCTGGTGTCCATACAATTTGGATACTTTATTCACTTGTTGTTTCCACTGCAGTTTGTTATCAATAACAAGTAAGTGATAAGGGTCACTTTAATTCAAGTAAGTGATATGGGTCACTTTAATTCAGCTGTGCAATGCTTGAATAAATATCAAAGTAAGAAAGTTGAGAAGACAAAGAAAGCAATCTTTCTTTGCTCAATAAGGGAAAACCCTGGAGTGGTGAGATGCTCCCTGACTACTGCAGCCCAGCACTATAGCCGTGATAGTTAATCGGGATACAAATAAGTAATTCGCTTTAATTTGAAAATAATTGAATTTGGTCAAGTCGCAGCGAAAGGAAATTTGCAGGACCTAACCTTACTCTAACGGTTGGATTAATTAGACTTCAATCGAAAGCACAAAGTTTACAACGCACTCACAAACAATCATTTTGTGAAGTTTTTCATGTAATCCGTGCATTGTCATGGACAAACGCTTGTGATTCTAAAGAGAGAAAATTAATCCGGGAAGGTTTAGCTCAGCTGGGCACTTACTAGCGAAAAAGAGGCGTAACAAAACCAAAAACAAGCGCAGATCGAATTACTGGTTTCTCTGACCTAACTCATGTCAGGTATCAAGTACCTCCTGATCTCTTGTTAAAAAGTACTGAAACTCGTAATTGACTGTTTGTACTCACCGACCAAGACAAATCATTTACATTTTGCTTATCAACGACATGCTGTCTTCGCAAGGCTTCTTGATGAAGCTGTGACATGGCTAAAACAGCCGAAGTATCAAGATCCACTCCGGGAACGCCACACGATTTGGCAACAAACTATTGCTCAAGATCTCTCGAGCTCGAAGTTTGTCTACGAGTGACGTTACAATACATCGGTATGCAAAGAATGCACGCGCAGATGACGTCAAATTCCCGCGCTCTTCTCAAAACTTTCCGCGAATTATCCGAAGATGAATTTTTGGGAACAGAATTCACAGATGTCTGCGGTTTTTTTTTTGTTTTTTTTTGTTTTTGTTTTTTTTTTTGCCCGTCTGGAAGTAGTTGTAAATGTTGGAAAAGAGTTTTAACATAATTGCTGATAAATTTGGATATTTTTTTGTCTAAACATTGTCATTTATATTCAAAGCTACGACAGTTTTATCGAAAATTTCGTGCGTTTTTAATTTTCAAACTACATCTTTTTCTTCCTCTCTTCACAAATAGCCAGTCATGTCAAAGGACCTAACCGCCTGCTTTGTTGTAAGTTGCAGCGGTTAGCTTTAAGGGCTTGTTTTCGTACATATAGCTTTCTTTCCTCGCAAATATTGATTACCCCGTTGTTTAGGAAATAAGTTATGAAGTTTCGAAATTTCAATTAAAAAGTCTTTTTCAGCCAAAGGACTAAACGAGTGGCAGATGTCTGCCTTAGCTTATCGGTTCTTGTAATAGTTAAACTTGTTAATTACTCCATCGGTACTTTATACCTCCGGAGTATTGCAATTATGAATATTATTTGAAAAGTTTTCTTTGGATGTTGACTAGGGAGGGATCAGGTAAACTTAAATAATGCTACAATCTCACCGTCAAAGTTCTGACCATTTTCCATCTCCCTTTATTCTGTGTTCTATTTTTGTGAGATAATTAATTTCCAACTCTCCAATTATTGTTTGGGCAGGCTGTAGATTAAAGAAACTTCGATCTCTCTCTATGTGCGTGTTATATTTTTAAACATGATAGATCATTACTAAAATTAGCGAGCTTGCTCCCTAAGACTGATTGATGTTGACTTACGAAGCAGTGAATCGATGGCTTTGTTTTCAAATAATTGATTTTCCGATCGTAAGCACTGCTGAGCTATACACTGGTAAGCTTTAGAGAATAGAAATATATATGTTAACATAAGTCTTAGTTGGAATTTCGTACGTTTTTATTTTATCGCCTTGAAAGGCCGGTAATACCTGAAACTCTAACTGATATACATGGGTATCAATCATCGTCTAGCCTTAAAACGTCTAAATTATGAATGATGTTTTTAAAAGTGCGGGCTCTCGTTGGACGGTTTACTAAATGTGATGAGCTACTCTTAAAGCGAACGCAGGGGGAATATTAATTAAACAGAATAAACAGGACATGTTGCAATGATCAGAATCGCATCGAACTTTTGTTGGTCGCAAAGAAATTATTTTACTATAGTGCAGATGTAGCTTTCAAGTGAATTCAAGTTAAACTCCTTTAAACCGGTCAAAAGATTTGGAATTAGGGTCCGATGTTCTTGTGGTTTTTAATCATTCCAAATTGTAACTCTCCAACAGACTTACCTTCAGTCAAGATGTCAAATAAGTAGCCATGCCGAAGCGAAAAAGTAAGAAAAAGGGAGATGACTCTAAACGAATGGAACAACAACAATGTGCTACTTCGGGAGCCGAAAAGTTCAGCTACATTGGACCGACTCCCGAGAAACGTAAGTGAATTTAACATAGCGACAAAGAGAAGTCATTTGCGGTTGAATGGAAGTTGAGACGGCCAGATATGTAATATAAAGTTTTCGCTGTGTGTCTTGGCTGACACTTTGTCGTTTGGAACCGAAAGGACTTTTTTATTTCGTTTAGCCTGAAATGACCTCTATTTTTTCCTTTTTTCTAAAGTATAGTTTCAAAAGAGACATCGTTTTATTATAAAGTTATCGAGCGGCAATTTCAAATTTTTAGCGATTTTTTTTTTTTTCATATGCAAACGTTTGCTTCTTCCAACAATGACTTGAAAACGCCATTAACTGCTGATTAATTATTAAGGCCGCATTAATATTTTCGAAAAGGAATAAATTGAACCACTGTGCGTTAACTCAGTTTGACAGGCGTCGAACCTAAAGATCTAGACATAGAAAACGCATTAAATTGTCATGCATGTAAAGGATATCTTTTAACCAAGCGAGATGAGAACGCCCAACTATTTTTGAGCTGTAATCGCGCGCAGATACAAGACTCCCTCGGTGAAGTATTTATTCCATAAACTGTTTTAATCTCAAAGTTATCCAAAATATTTTAAAAGTATTTTAATGAGCCGTGGAACTGTTGACGGCCTGCCAAAGCCTTGTTGGGAAATAATGTACATGTATTTGATACAAGGTAAGAAATAATTATGCGGGGAAAAAAACCACACCGGTGCTTTTTTTTCTTTCTTTCTTCCTGCTTTCTATGACTGAGGGAAAGCCGGAACATTTTTTCTTAAATTCCTTTTTTTTCTGTCATTTATTGCTACATGTTATGTATTATCCAGTTTACTCGCAATATGTATTACCCAGTTTACTGGAAATATTTTTTAATTCTATTTTTATCATGCTCGTTTGTATGGCCTGATCGAGAAAGGCGAACAAAGGACATTTTTTTGTCAATGACGTTTTAGCCATTCGTTGTTTCCGTACGTGCATATATTTACGCGTAAAGCGATTGAAATACTCTTGAAATCAGAATAGATGAGTGTTAGAGAAACTTAAAGCCGCTGATGTTCGCAAGTATTGCATACTTGTGGTGTTTAGAAGAAAAGATGAAGGTTTCAAGATAAGATTCATCAAGGGTAAAACAATTTTGTCATCGATGATATTTGTCAGTCTTGATAAGGGCACTAGGAAATAGTTAAGAATGCCGCCATATGATGTAAAATTATACGACATCGGCTACTTTATATTTGTTCATTAGGCAGGTTTCTTTCGGTTGAAGTAAGTCCTTTAAATATTTTCATCGACAAAGACTTCTGCCAAAGGGACAACAGTGAATTTTACGTAAACTTAGTTGATTAACACAAAAATTAGTTATGGCCACGCATGTAGCATATAACAAAACAAAATTGTTTTTCGACGGAAATAAAAGTTTTTATGAATCAGTAAGGCTGTCTCTAAGCTTTTCAATCACAGTGTAAACAAGTGGTTTTCTCTTTCGTTCGATCTCTTAAAATTGTGCAATTTGGACCAACTTTAAATAGTTTTGAGTGAATGACTCAATTAGAGCCATGAGGATTGTTTAGAATTACTAGGTGTTTCTTTGCAGAAAATACAGCATTTAAAAGCATTTTGCTTCAGGGTAACCAGGAAAAACTCTTTGTCTTTCCTATCCACATTTTCTGGATTGAAAATGTTAAAGTTTGAATTTGTTACGAGAAATTCTTGTTCTATTGGTTTGCTTTGTTTATTTTTGGTTTTCGATCGGTATTGTTCTTACTTTCTAGCCAAAAGGTAATATACCATAAAAATATAACTGAAATAAAAGATGTGGGAAGATAATTTTTGAACACCAATATGAGTGTTTATCCTGACGCGACATGATGGCGTAAGGAAAAAAGTTATTTTTCGGCTGTGGACAGTAAGACACAAGTGACTACCCTTGACGTATTTTGAATATAGTGAAATACTACTTATTCTGGTGAATTATTGTTTACCCACTATGAAAAAAACAGCAGAGTTTTGCTCAGTTAAAATGTTGCTAACTTTTCGTCAACTTTGTACGTAAACAAACTTTTGAACTTTACGTAATAAGACCGGAAAACTTTGATATTGACTATGAATGAAAAAAGAGCAGCAACTTTCCCTAAATATCGCTTCGAAGGTTGTTCCATCAATAATTCGAGACAAATAGCAAGAGATTTTTGTACGAGCTGAGTGGAGGGAAAACATATTCTTGAATCCTTGTGAAGGCGCGAAATTTTAAAGAGACTGGGCTCTACTTTTAAGGAGACACCGCGAAAATACATTGTTTTGATATCAGCGGTTTGTTTGTATTCACCGGCTCTTCTGAATTTAGATTTTATGAGCTGCAGGCAGCGTGTTTGGGGCCATTTTTTCCCTGAGATTTCATGTGTAGTGATTTTAATGATGCCATGGGCAACTGCAGAGCGTTATTGTTCACTCGCAGCTGAGCGTAATTTGCCGGAGTATTGAACCGTGGGAACTCATCGTTGCATGAAACTGCATCTATCACAGCTGTGTGATTTTGTACGATTTGCAATATGGCTGGTGATAATTTATCTCGAAGATGGACTCTTCCCGGGCGATAAACTCTATTAACAAACAGGACAACTTATCTGGGTCGCTTTTTGCTAATTTTCCGTAGTTTTGAGAACAGATTCATCAGTCATGGTTGGGTTTTCATTCGCGCGCGAAGAACAGCTCTATGGTGAGATTAGAAATGGCTATTTTTTCACTTTTATTTGCGATTTGCAGCCGAATTATCGTATTATCGTTCTATGATTTGCAGCTATGATGGGGAAGAGTACCGATAGTCTTAAAGAACTCGGTCCGCCGACAGAATGGGAATTGGTTGAAAGGATCGGAGAAGGTACTTATGGTGAAGTTTTCAATGCTAGGAACAAAATTTCAGGTGAAATAGCTGCGGCCAAGGTTATAGATTCTATCCACGAGAAAATTGAAGAGGTTCTTCCAGAGTTGGAAATCTTATCAAAGTATTCTACTCATCCAAACATCGCTGGATTTCACGGCGCTTTTATGAACGTCGATACGAAACGCCATGATCAATTATGGCTAGTGATGGAGGTTTGTCCTTAATATTGCATTGAAAATTGGTGTACAGTAATTAGATATATTTTAGAGTTAATTTATCAGTTTCCAACCTTTTTTTTTCCCCTGAAGAATGCGCGAATTTTGTCTATATGTCGACCTGAATCATTACCAAAAATAGTTTTAAATGAGTGAGTACTTTAGTAGAAAGCATACCTGTAGCCAGACTGAATGGGGTAATTAGCGGCCAGGCTATAAAAAAAGCTCTTAATTAAATAAGAGAAAACAGCTGTCCGATTACGATTGTATCTTACTTAATGCTCTTTCGTTAATGCAGAATCTCAGGAAGTTTTTTGGAGGGAGTTTTTATTACGTACACAAGTTAAAGTTTTGAGGTTTTCCTGTTTGTGAATAAAATTAATATCATACGTCGTGGAAAACAAATATAGCGACTTTGTTATTCTACGAGAAACTATTAAAGACGCCATGAACACTAGCTCATTTTCATATTCCAAATAAATTTGGAGACTTAGAAGCTGAAATTTAAAGGAGCAGAAATTAAAACTGGGCAATTAGATATCATATTTGAATTTCTGTGTGTTAAACTTGGAAATTATGAGTAAGGGAAGGCCAGGAATAACACACCTGAAAATAATTTGCAAAAAATTATGTTTTACTGCGTTTCATGTAATTTACAGCAACATTAGAATAACTTTTACCTTGTATTTTAAATCATGCAGTTATCTTAACTTGCGTTATTGAGACTAAGGGCACTTCAAGTGATGAAATTAGATTTTGAACTATAAGATTCAGGGATGAGCCCTTTATGGGTCACTGTAAATTACAGGTTTTTAGACAAGATAGATAACCCTTTACATGCTACCATCCATATGGTAGATTGCCTAATATAACCATATAACACCATTTGTTACGTATCTAATACCACAGTTCAAAATATATGAACTTCATATATACATTGTATCTGATTTATCATCACGGGTTTATTATGAATCAACTCAACGGCCTGCTCCCAGTTGGCTTGTTATCTCAATTGGTAGAGCGCTGCACTAGTATCGCAGAGGTCAGTGGTTTGAATCCCGTACAGGCCTGATTTTTTTCAGGTCTGATTTTCGCTATTGCATAAATGGCACTCTCTACTGCGAGGATCGTGCATCATATGTAACTATTTGTTACTCTGTAGCTCTGCCGCGGCGGATCAGTGACAAACCTTGTAAAGAGCTTGAGGAAGAAAGGAAAATATCTTGAAGAAGACTTGATAGCCTACATCCTCTTTGAAACACTAAAGGTGATTAGAGTTCTTTTTTTTATTTTGAAAAACATTTGGATGTTACAGTGTAAGTTACTATCTGATTGGTTGGTTGTGAATATTTAATAGCAATAGAGAGTATTGTATATTTTCTTGCCTGTCAGATGAGCTTTGAACACTGATCAGGTGTAGCATTTAAAGATAAACATTTTCTTTTTCAGGGAATTGAACATCTTCACAGGCATAACGTGATGCACAGAGACATCAAAGGCCCCAACGTGATGCTGACAAACAGAGCTGAAATAAGATTAATTGACTTTGGTTAGTGTTGTCAATCAGTCAATCAATCAATCAGTCAATCAATCAGTCCATTAGACAGTCAGTTGATTTGTTGGCTAGTCCATTAGTCAGTCCGTCAGTCAGTCAATTCAATTAGTGAGAGTGTGTGAGTCAGCCAGTCAGTGAGTCAGCCAGTCAGTGAATCAGCCAGTCAGTGAGTCAGCCAGTCAGCCAGTCAGCCAGTCAGCCAGTCAGCCAGTCAGTGAGTCAGCCAGTCAGCCAGTCAGCCAGTCAGCCAGTCAGTGAGTCAGCCAGTCAGGGAGTCAGCCAGTCAGTGAGTCAGCCAGTCAGTCAATCAATGCATCATTCATTTGGTCAGTCAGTCACTTGCCTGGGGTTGGTTGATTGGTCACTTCTAAAGGCGGCCAGTCAGTTGGAAAGTTGATGGGTACTGGTTTTTTTTTTTGGTTGCAATAGCAGTCAATCAGGCCATCAGCAAGTCAGTTAGTCTGACAATCTGTCAGTAGTGATTCAAACAATTAATCAGTGAGTTTATCAGACTTATAGTCAGTTGCTCAGAGAGGCAGTGAGTCTGTCACCTTGTTACTATTTCAGTCAATCAGTCAGTTGGACTGTCATTCAACTAATAAATCTCTCATTTAATCAGAAAGCATTGTGTTTGTTGTGAGAGGCACGGTGGCCTCATGGTTAGTGCCCAGGACTCTGCACTGAGCAGTCTGGGTTCAAGCCCTAATTGCTTCATGCAGCAGGAACCAGAGATATTCGCCTGCCTGATGGGCCACCTACATGTAGCTCATATACAGACTTACTTTTTTACTGTTAATCGATCATTTCTTTTGTGACTGTAGAATACAATGGATCCAGTAGTGTCAAGAATCAGTGAAAATTTTGTTTTCTTTAGGTGTGTCAGCAGAGTTGTCAAACATCCTCATGAGGCGTAATTCATCAGTGGGTACTCCATTTTGGATGGCCCCCGAAGTCATCGCCTGTGAGCAGCAGCTTGACTACAGTTATGATGTCCGCTGTGACATCTGGTCTCTTGGAATTACAGCTATTGAACTTGCTGATGGAACCACACCACTCTCTGATCAACATCCTATGCGAGCACTTTTTAAAATTCCTAGGTAATGTTAGATGTATTTCAATTTGTTCATACTTTTCCTCAAGTGAAGGGTTAAATTGTACCAGGTAGAAATGTAAATTTCTAGAACCCATGCACCCTTACCTTTCTAATAGATTTTTTCAACTTACAATTGAACCTCCACCAACAACCACCTCTCTACAATGGCCATCTTTCCACGACGGCCTCTTTTTTTGGTCTGGTGTGCTGTCCACACTTTTATCCCTACCTCCCCTTAATGGCCACCTCTCCACACTGGCCACTTTTTTCTATCCTCAATATAATGTGGCTGGTGTGGAGAGTTTCAACTGTGGTTGACCCATTGCAGCCTTGCATCAGTTTGCATATTTTCCCTACTGTTCTCTATACAATCATATGGTAGTGTCAAGGAGAATTTGTTTGACACTCAAGACCTTCTTTGGTTGGTGATCATTTACTTTTTTCTTATGACCTTGATGATTAATTCAGCAGTGATATTGTATGGAGAAATTAGTTGTTGGACACTCATGAGAATTGAAGAGTTAACAAGGCTGCACTCTAAGAAAAATTGAAGGGAGCCCAGTGCTCTGAAACTGTTAAATCCATGGTGCCCAGCATAATGTTTTTTATGAAAAAATTAAGATTCCTGAGTCGCCCAAGAGCAAAAGTAAGGTGCCAGGGGCCACTGGGTGTTGCTAGACCACAGCCCTTGCTGAGGCACTTTTGAACTGAGTGTGGCTTAAGTTTAAAGATTGGAGGATCTTCTAAGTGTATTGCAAAATTCTCTAGCTCAATTCTGATGCCTTAGCCACTGGACTGTACAATGTATTTTAATATCAGGCCCCGGTTGTTCGAAGGATGGATAACACTGAACACTGGATAAATCTCTATCTGGTGGATAGCGCAGTACGTTTTGGTAATTAACACTTATCCGCTGGATAGCGATTTATCCGTTGGATAGCGTTATCCGCCCTTTGAACAACCGAAGCCAGATGTGGAGCTACATGTATCATGTAAATTTTTATCTGGTTTATCTTCAGTAGTACTGGCCCTAAACTGATGGTTTCAATGTAGTAAATGCGAATGATAGCCTATTGATTGAACTGTTTTAGGAGCAAGTCACCATCTATGAAAAATCCAGAGCGGTGGTCTCATGAATACAGAGACTTTATTGCAAAGTAAGATTTTTTCCTGCTAAGCTATAAATTTGTTAAATTTGTTATTACTTTCAATAGAAAGTACTTCAATTTTGCTATTTAGAGTGTAGTGTCAAACATGGAACCTCAATATCTGGCTGTGAAAAGTACTTTGTAAGCTTTTGAGTCTGTGGGGCTTTTTTACCCCAGCCTTGTCGTGGTGATTTGTATACTGTTTTTGATGCTAAATAGCAATTTCCATAAGGTCGTAATAGTAGCAAGTATGATAAATATTGTAAGAAATAGACAACTTTTTTGAGAGACATGTTTCGGCATGCTTATGCCATCTTCAATCAATGAGTAACTCAACATGAGTAATTATATATAGCATATAAGTGGATGAATAAACATGTCTCTTAAAAATGTTGTCTATTTCTTACAATAAATAGCAATTTATCGAAATTGGGTTATTTTTATCATTATGGTAATCTGTTTGTGGTGAAATGGTCTGCTTGGTTACAATCAGTCTGTAATTTCTTCTTTTAGGTGCCTGGTTAAAGATTTTGAGCCTAGAGCTCATGCCAGTGACATGTTGAGTCATGTATTTGTCCGATGGGTGGCAGACAAGAGAGATGCTGTAAGATGATATATATGATACTTATTGTTACAAAATTATGCCAGCTTATACCCCATTCACACTGGCAAAATGTGTTTAAAAAAAATGTTTAAAAAAAAAAACAGAATCAGAGAACTTTATACTCGTTGTGCTGTATGAGAAGTTGAAAAACATCAGTTTAAGCAGCTCCTATGGAGAAAAAATTAAAACTATGTTTAACAAAATAGCTTTAATACTGTTACATGTTCAAGCTTTGGTGTGATTGTGGTTTAAGCTCAGCTGCCTAGAAACTTTTACTTAATTTGTATCATCACTATCCACATTGTACTTAGTGACAAATTTTGAAACAGATGCATGTACATGTAATCCTGAGAAAGTCTGAGATCATTCCTTAAAGTACAATAATTCTTGAAAAATGGATCTTAAATAGCAACAATTTTACTTTAGTTTATTTTCTTTGTTAAATTGTATTATTTTCTCTACGTGAAACTTGGGGATGTAAAACATGGATTGTATGATAACATTGTAGTTTTTTCATAAATATTTTATGAGAAAGTCCTAGTTTTTAAAACAACAGATAGCAGCTACCTGGTTGAACCAAATTTTTTCAAGATTTTCCTTTTAGAAATGACTTTGAGAGCGGTGAAGGATGTACATGTTAGATATGTGTAAAAACATTTCTCTCAGGAAATCAAATCAAAAGCTCAAGTCAGAACAGACACCTAACTTAAATCTTAATTTGAACATGTTTTTAGTTCCACAATTTGTTGATATCAAAAAGAATATTCAATCAGAGTGGATATGAGAAAATATATAGAACAAGGATAGATTTTTGTGCTTAATCTGTGGTGCAAAAATGTTGCAGCTTCGGAGAAAATTGATGAGTTTGATGGATGGACAGTATCAAGGTAAAGACGGGATTATGGTGGAAGCCACTAAAGAAAGAGATCAGGAAGCGTTACCAAGGTATAACAGAGAGATTATTAATACAAAAGAATAAAGAACCTCATAATTGTTAATTATTAATTGCAAAGGGCTCCATTTTGTTTCATAAAATTATGTATCTTTTAAGAGTGCAAAGTTATATCCATTTTGAAAATAGTTTTTAATATTTTAATTTAGCTGTAGTCTGCACAAATTTAGTGAAATGTTGTAAAGAGACACAAATGTGCATTGTTTGGATTTGTCTGATTTGTATTTTCCTTGCCTAAGGAATATGATGATATTCTTGGAACAGAAGAAAATGCAAAATAGGCAACCTAGTTATTTGAAAATCATGTTGACTTGGAATTAATTTCCAACTGATTAAAGTTTATAAAAATAGCTTTAATATTGTGTCCACTTTTCATGGTGGTTAAGCAAACAAAATTTGTACTACTAAAAGATTTTTTAAAATTTTGTATGGTCAGTGGGAACTCTGTATGTGTTACAATCTAACATTGGTGTCCATATTCTTGTCATTGTGTTCTTTACATTTCTTCTGGTATTAATTAACAAGGAGGATCTGTTTGACCGTCAGGAGCATCCTAAATTAGTGATCATTTTCTTTATTCTCATGACCGTAACATTTGATTGGAGGGTGATATCGTATGGAGAAATTAGAAGCCAGTCATTCTTAGGGATAAAAGTAATAAGCTGAAATTAAATAATACAGTCAACACACTTTATTATGTTTTTAACAGTCCCTTAGCTGCTCTAAAGAAAAAAAACCTTCAACGCAGCAAACATATGCAGCAGGTTGATAACTTAGCAGAGTTGGGAAGTCTGACTGAGGTAGGTCATATGCCTTCCAAGATCTCATTTCTAATTCTCCTTATAGTCTGCTGTGCAGTTCTTATGGTGAGAGTTTGGAGAATTTGTCATTGGATCAACCAATAATCCCTTAATTGATACTTTTATTTATTCTCATGGTTGTATCATTTCTTTTGTGGACAGGACATTATTCTGAGCCATCTTCTGGAAAGATATCTTAATAATCAAATTTACACATACATTGGTGACATACTCATAGCTGTTAATCCACTACAGACTCTCAACCTGTATGGACCAGAAGTGAGTCTGCAGAAATTTTTCATCATAGTTCTGCAACTTCCTGCTAATTATTCAAGACAGTCTGCTCTTTTAATCATAAGAGAACTCTATTCAAGAAACCATATTATTTTATTAAAGGCTGATAGTTTCGAAAGAAACTGTTTGGGGCTGCGTCGGTGGGAGTAACGAAATAATTTGGATATATCAACAAAAGTTGAAATGGTAAATTGGCCACCGTAATGATTACAAAAGCTGACGTTTCGAGCGTTAGCCCTTCGTCGGAGCGAATAGAGGAATTGTGGGTTGTGTGTGCTTTTAAAGGCAGAAAATGGAGCTACGTTATTGGTGGGTGCATGGCAACGAGAAAAACATGAATAAATTAGTGGAATGAAAAGCGTTCATTGATCCCTGTGGGATTGAGACTGCCGGTTTGAAAGATGAGCTTTTGTTCAAGATTTTTACGGCTTTCCGTGCCACCTAAGTGCAAGGAAAGACCGCAGATTGCCATATGTTTGACGTGGAAAGGAATGACAAGGACACATCTAAACCAGTCGCTAGACATTTTAATTTACCTAATCATTCTAAGCAACATATGGCAATCTGCGGTCTTTCCTTGCACTTAGGTGGCACGGAAAGCCGTAAAAATCTTGAACAAAAGCTCATCTTTCAAACCGGCAGTCTCAATCCCACAGGGATCAATGAACGCTTTTCATTCCACTAATTTATTCATGTTTTTCTCGTTGCCATGCACCCACCAATAACGTAGCTCCATTTTCTGCCTTTAAAAGCACACACAACCCACAATTCCTCTATTCGCTCCGACGAAGGGCTAACGCTCGAAACGTCAGCTTTTGTAATCATTACGGTGGCCAATTTACCATTTCAACTTTTGTTGATATATCCATATTATTTTAAACTCTGCTATTTAAAAAGATTACCATTTTACCATGGTTTAAGACTCCAAGGAATAAACAAAGCATGTGAAAATTGTCTTCAAATATATATGTGCATAATTTTGATGTTGGAGGTGGTCATTTTGGAAAACACTTTGGCCTGATGCATGCATGCAAAAGCACTACACATGATCTACAAAGGGCCTCCCGATGGCACCTTGAAAAATTAAATGGGTTTTGTAAACTTGTTTTTTCTGATCTTGAAATCTTGTCAGCGTCTGTATGACTGTCAAAATTTCATTTAATGTGCAATTAGTTTCATCAGTTACTGTCAATGGTATTAATTTTAAATGAAATTGTTCAGTTTTGGTCTTGATTTTGAAACTTGGTTCACTACTGAGGGACGAGCATTGGATTTGACCATTCACTGCCTGTTTTTGTTTACAAAATTTTTGCCAACTGAAACTGATATAGATTCTGTTCTATTTCCAGCTTGCAAAAAAGTATAGAAACTCTCAGAAGAGTGCTTTGCCACCTCATATTTTCATGGTAGCTGATATGACACACCAGGCAATGATACATAACAAGAACCCTCAGGTTTGAAATACACATTATTATTACCAGCTCATATTCACCTGTAAATTCCTTCTACCTGTTACACACTTTTAGTAAGGTGAAATCAAAACCAAGTTTAAATTCCAGTCCTGGAGGAACACCTTCCACTCTGCTGGATTCAGGGGGAGGGTCCGGGGGGTCTGGACCCCCCCTATCAGACCCGACGCTTACAACTTTGAGAATGAAATTCGTACATCAACAGGATCGTATGTCACTTTTTAACTGGCTGATTTTTTTAATTAATGTATCCAAGTAAACCGTAAGCGGCCAAGGAATTATAACTGGTGGGAGGGGGTGTTGGGGAGAAGTAATTTGCCTCAAAAGAGTCCAACAGTCCTTTCGTAACCAAAGTTTGGACCCCTCCAATCAAAAATCCCTGGATCTGCCCCTGCTCCACCTTCCTGCAGCCTACTTGTGGTATGTCAACCTAATTCAGGCTATTTCCACAAGGTTCCAGATAATGAGATTTCACTCTGAATGTAACTGGATTTAAATTTCACTGCTATACAAGTACTGGCAACCTGGGCTTGATTGTTCAAAGAATAGACAAGTGATACCAAAACATACTGCACTATCCACTGGATAGGAATTTTTCGAGTGGATAGCATTGTTCAACCTTGAAGAACTGGCATCCTGATCATTATTCAGATTTCCATTTTATTCTTAGTCATCTTGATTATTAAAAAAGTAGGATCATAGAAACACTTGCTGAGGGTCCCATTTTACGTCTGTTTTCCTTTTACGACTCCTTGTCTTTATACATTGTCTGTCCATAAGTGCTGTGTTAATTGATCTCCTAACTTCTGTGTTTTATTTATCTCTAGTTTCAATCTGCAAGGTTTTTTCTATTAACATAGGTTTGCCTTATTTATTATTATAATTCTTCCATAACTTGTTATTTTAATCACGTTCTTCTTTTGCCCCACCACGACTAGCTTCTTAGCTATTTGCGGGGCAAACCATTTTAATCATGTATGTCTGTAATCAGAATAAGATTAAAGTTTGTTGTGTTTGTTGTCACCTTGCAGTGTTGCTTGATCAGCGGCGAGAGTGGAGCGGGCAAAACAGTGTCGGCTGACTACCTGGTACGACATTTAGCTGAACTAGGAAAGGTTGGTACCAACTGTTGCTATAGAAACAAGTTCCATTGCTAAACCTTTATTCTCATTAGAACTGTACCATGTTTGGCTTCAAAAGAAATCATTGTTGATGATTATTGATTATTCTTTAATTGTTATAATAATTATTAGTTATGATTATTATGATAAATGACTTTTTTTTTTATTAGGCTGGAAACAGATCACTGGAAGCGAAGATTCTTCAGGTGAGCAATACATGTTATTGAAAGAAATCCTAAATCCTCTACTTCATCAGTTTCCTTATTATCATCATTTGTTTGTGGCATGACGAATTGACATTTTGAAGAGAATTTACGGGTTTATCCCTTAATGCGGTTGAAAGGTTTATTTATGCCCATACTTCTAATGTTCCTATATGCACAGGATCTCATTTAGTTATACTCCTTAGTGTTTGCCGCACAGTTCTTATCGTGTTGTTTCAGAGAATATTGGATTGGATCAACTAATAATCCCTGAGCTGATATTTTTCTTTATTCTCATTACTTGTCTGCTGATATTTTTCCTTATTTCCATCACTTGTGTACTTAATATATATATCTTATTAACCAAGTGTGAGGGCCGCACTGGGAGAATATTGGCCTGAGGTCTTGACAGTACGGACCGAGCGCAGCGAGGTCCGTACAAAAAAGACAGAGGGCCGATATTCTTCCAGTACCGTCCCGAGCAAGCTTGGTTAATAAGAGATTTATTATATGACTGAAGTTCAAAGGGACACAAGTGCGGTATCATTCGGGACCATTCGGGACAGTGCCCAGTCCAATACTGAGAGAATATTGACCGACAATAGAGCATTTTGATTGGTTGATTTTAGTTATTGGCCCTCTGACTGCCTGAGTCGTGTAATAATGTATTGATATTGTAAGGAGGAATTCTGTCTTGGTCACTCATGTAAGTGAAAGGGTTGTAATTAAAAGGAAACTGAAGGTTTTTGTATTTGCAGGTCAATCCCCTCATGGAAGCTTTGGGAAATGCACAGACAGTGATAAATGAAAACTCTAGCAGATTTGGAAAATACTTAGAACTCCATTTCACAGCTAATGGAGCTCTGACTGGAGGTAGGTTAGCAATCGACAACCAGAGTTATCATTTTAGAGTGCATTGTGAATGTGTGAAGCAAAGCAAAACTAAACGTAGTTCTGTCAAGTGGTTACTTTGACACTCAATTTAAAACTGCTTTGTTTACATTAATGGCCCAGATGACTTGAATTTGCCATCTTGACAGACTGTCAGTGTATCCTTGAGTCAGTACATTTTGCACAAAAATCAGCCACTGTTCAGGGAATGAGGAAAGGCTTAGCCTGTCAGTCAGTTAGTCAGTCAGTCAGTTAGTTAGTCAGTTTGTCATAGAATCTCATTTTGTCGATTTTTCAGTCAGTTGCCAGGCCAGTTGTGTCCCAGGTTTGTTGGTCTATATCTCAAAATTTACTTTGTAACGTTTATTTCAAGGAATGTTATCAGAGTACCTGTTGGAAAAATCCAGAGTTGTTTCGCAATCAAGGTGTGTGGGACATCAAGTTTCAGTTTCTTGTTATTTCTGGTATTTTTTATAAGTATTTCCATACACTGAGGTATAAATCTCTGTTAATGAAGACTCACCTTCGTAGGTTTTTGATACTGGTATAACATCGTCAGCATTAACCAGAACTTGTCTTAGATGGCATTTTCTTTACATCTTATTCTCTATTATTTTTAGAGGAGAAAGGAACTTTCACATATTTTACTACATGATCGCTGGTCTTGCTTATAACAAGAAACTGGAGAAATATTCTTTCAAGCTGTATTCGCAGCACAAGTAAGTATTGAAGTTGATTTTAAAGAAGTGTACCTAAGTCTTTGAATTACGGACTTTATCTGTGAAACACTCCCCCCTCATGAACAGACGTATTTCCTTACGCGTATCAATCTCATGTCGTAAAACCAAAGTACATGTATTCACAGCAGTCAATGAACACAGAGATACCTTGTAAAAATAACTGGGAAAAACTCAAAGTAGAAACGAGCACACTGCTTAAAGCGCGGGAAAACGCGAGTGACCAACACGTGATTAGTTGTAGTTTTGCATTTGATTGGTTGTGAGGGTGGTGCGTGTTTTTGTGACCAATCACAAAGCGGTTTTCAGGAGTACTTTAGAATTATCTTGCTCTACTTCGCCTCCTGATTGGTTAAGAAAACTCACGAAATTTTTGCAACTAATCAGATTCAAAACTAAACCAATCGCAACTTGATGGATGGACAGTTTTCCCGCGCTTTAAGGCAGTTTGCGCGTTTTTCTTTTGCTTTGTGATTGCTGTGGGTTTGATTTTACGGCACTTATTTGAAAAGCGCTCCAAGCAAAACTAATGCTTTTATTCTGGATAACTTTTGACACGGTGTTGAAAAGCACTGTTATACTGACAAGCTCTTTGTCTTTCGTATATCTTTCAGCTACCTCCAAACAGGAGGGCGAAACCTTCAAGACTTAGTATGCACCCTTGGAAACAGACGCAAGTTTGAAGAGGTTCAAAGATGTTTTGACATCATCGGCTTTAGTCATGAGGTGAATTAAAACTGAACACGAAGTGACATGAACTTAAAAGATAAGGCTGTCTTTCAATGTCTTTTCAGACTATGGTAGTGGAAGGACTATACGCGTGTACTTCTGTGCTGAACGTTTAAAGCGTTTAATTCTTCTATATAACACTTGTGTCTAACCGTAAAAATTGTTCCTAACTATGCAACCTTTTTTTTGCAGGAAGTGTCACAGTTGTTTTCAGTATTGGCAGCCATCATTCATCTTGGAGACATTCACTTCACTGAAGATGAGTCAGTTTCGCATCTGAGCGACAAAAGTATGGTTAGCAATCCTCAAGTGCTACTCATAGGTGTGTGTAAATAAAAATTATTAGGTAAAGATACAAATAAAAATTCCTCGTATGCTTTAATTTAATCGTGCATTCTGATCGTCCTGGTGAGAGTAAACCTCTGCTTTTATTGAGCACTACTGTCTCTGTTTGAATGATCCGGTCCATTGCTTTTTTCCCATTGGAGTCCCGTCGGAACTAAGCCCAACCTGTAGCGAACCCAGGAAGAAGCTTCAGGGGGGAGGTGGGGGGGCTGCACTCCTTACTATCAGATCTGTGGATTTTTCTTATCACTTATCTGACTTTAAAAATCTTGCAACGACATGATCACATGTCTCGGCACAATATGAAGTTGTTGATATTTTCTCGTCGTGCAATATTTCTGTGTTTTGGAATCAAAGTTTGATTCAACGATTTGAAGCATGGCGAGAACCAGTGAGATTTAAAAGGAAACGTACGTGATCGACATTAAGAAACGGAAAAGGCCACGTGACGGAGTCTTGATTTGTTGAGGTTTTGACTTCTGATGACTTGTAACAAGAGCAACGCTTTTGCTACTATCATGAAGTGTTGTCAACCAAGTGATATTCGTGAGACCGCCTAAGATGAAACTCGAGATCAGCGCAAACACCGATTCTTTTCGAAATCGAGAACAATCATTTTGATCAACATCTTCTTTCAGTTTCTTCGTTGTTGGGGATTAATGCAGTGGAACTCAGAGATGCATTGACAACAAATAGCAATGTAACACGAGGTAAAGCAATTTACTTTTCGGGAATTGTTTTTGTAGACCAAGTTTGGTTCCCATCGTTTCTTCTTTGTCCTGACGAAGGGCTAACGCTTGAAATGTGCGCTTTACAAATTCTTTACAGTTGCTAGTATACATTAGAACATAGCTAGCAGAGCCGCGCAATCAAATTCAATATACGTAAGCGGGCTCAAAATCCCGATAGTGCACGCTGATAGCGTCAGCAAATCGCTTCGCCAGAAATTTTTTATTTGCGCGCGAATGGCCATTGTTAGCGCGGGGAAAAATAATATATTTCGCGACAATAATGGCTACAAACAGAAACTCGGCCCACTAGTCCCAAAACGAAGACAATTTTCCGACCTTTTCCCATGGGCTAGAGTTCTTAAATGAGGCAAAAAAGGGAAAAATAACGGAAAAGGAGACTCGGCATCAGCGCCGTCACGATTCGCTTCGCTTGATACTGTTGTACGTTTTTCGCGTCGGGTTTGATGCACAATTCCACCGGCTATGTTCTAAAACAATTGGTTCATGCTTTCAGCTGTGCACTATCGAGTTATGGAGCACGTGGGAAGTTTGGAGAGCACTCAAGAAGCTAGAGTTGCCCTCGGCTATTGCCTCGGGCAAGTCTTACGCTTCTGTCGTACTCTCCAAACTTTCCGCGTGCTCCATAACTCGATAATGCACGCTAAAGCATGAACCAATTGTTAATTATCGACTCAGTTGATAAAACCAGATTTTCTCATAATACCCCCACCGGCCTAGCACCGCAGTTTCTCTAGAGACTTACCTCCTTTATTCTTTATTTTGATGTAAATTTTTTGCATTTGATAGCTTTTTTATATTTAAAGTCGCATATTCCTCTCAGAAATTTTTTACTTTTCATTTTTGCCGACTAATGATATTCATACAAACCTATTTGTCATTTATCTTCAGGAGAGACTATCGTTAGGAACAATTCTGTTGATCAGGCAGTGGACTATCGCGACGGAATGGCTAAAGTAAGTTGACCAAATAATAAAATTGTTTTCGCTTGTTCCTTAAAGGATAAGACTCATTAGCGGTGTAGTCAACGAAGTTTCTCGTACTTCAAGTAGTACTTAACACTTTTGTCACTCTTATCAAAAACAGAATTCTCCTCCTAACCGACAGACCTTACTCTATCAAACTTAAGACCTTCCATAAATCCTGCGGAGCTATGTTATCTCCATTTCATTAGTTTATTGAGGTTCGCCAACATACAACACAAAAATATGTATAAAAAGGTACCACAAAGGCAGGAGAAAAAAACAGGGCACACCCCAATTGGCATTTGTTCCCCCAAACAAATTACAACAATAAAATCACAATATTCATAAACAATATTTAAAAACCAATGAAAGTCAGGTTAGATGCTAGGGCGGAATGTGCTTGTCCATTTTGTCTATATACTGAAGTAGAAGAGAGTGTTTGAAAGTTTTGATAGTTTTGGCTTGTTTCAGTTCGGGAGAGAGATTGTTCCAAAGTTTAATTGATCTTGGGAGAAAAGACTGGTGGAAGTACTGTTGTGTATGAGTAGTAATCGGCCGAAAGTTTGAAGGATGATAATGACGAGTCATATAACGAGATGCAATGGGAAAAAGGAGATGATTAAAGTTTACATTAATAAGACCAGATCGTATTTTAAAAACTAAAATTATTTGATCAGGCGCTCAGAGTAGGGGTAAGCGTCTCTATCAGGATAGTTCATGATAAACCTGGTGGCCCGCCGTTGAATAATCTCTAGTAGCCTATGATGTTAGCAGTGTAAGGAGACCATAAGGACGAGGCGTATTCTAAAATAGGGCGGACTAGTGTAGTGTACATCAGTTTTCTAGTTTATTTGTCAATCTGCGCCAAGCTTTTAGTTGCGCAGAGTAAATCAGGGCAAGCCGAAGGAGAACATGTAGCTGCTGAAAAGAGCGGGAGATTTGTGGCAAGGTGGCACGCGCGAAAAAATAACTAACGATTGTACTAGTGCGAGAAAACATTTACCGTTGGTCAGAGTGGAAGCACCTCTGACGAGCGCGAAACCTTGGAGACGTCAGAAAGCGCGGGAAAAACAGTCACCGTTGCACGCGCTGAAGAACACGAAACCAACGGAAAGCGTGCGATTTTGCACTAATTGAAAGGGTGATTTCGTGTGAGCGCGTCACTCCTGGAAAGGGCGGGAATTCGAAACCTGGTTATAGAAATGTTGTCAAAGGGGGTCTTCATATACAAGACTGAGTCCATTTAACAGAAATAAGCAGACGGTTATTTGAAAAGCACTTGTTTCTTTTCTGAATCCCCATGTGGAGAAAGGGATTCTCCCTCTTCTTTGATTCACCTTCCTCCATACAGTGTAAAATCTTTCAGAAATCTCACGGGCTTTCATTGTTGGTTTTCAGGCACTGTACGGCAAGCTATTTAGTTGGCTTGTTCACCGAATTAACGCTTTACTGAGGACAGAGAGAGGACGCCTAGTGTAAGTATCTTTGTAGTAATCTGGTTTTCTCATGGGAGGGTGACCTTGACTGTTTTTAGGCAAATGAACACAAGTCAACCAAAACTCATGTTCATGTTTGACTGATCGCTTGATTTAAGTGGCGCGGAAAAAAAACTGTAAAATTCTTAGCCTACCCAGGGCTCGACACTAACTTTTCAATTTATTAGCCAAGTGGCTGGTGACATGCTACGACAATGTCAGTTCGTTTACTAGCCAAACTGGCCGGTGGAAACCGAAAACCACCAGCCAAAACTGAATTTCTTCTAGTCTGTGGCTAGTGGGCTACGTTAGTGTTGAGCCCTGACTACTTGCAGGCGGTAGTTGGTGTCTTCAAGCGCGAGATTCAGCGCGGCGAATATTCGGTCGCCGTATTGGAATTTGTTTCTTGTTGTTTCTTTTTTGTGTGTGTTCTTGTCAGTTCTGTTTTGTTTTTCCGTGTTTTGTATCAGTTATGAGCAAACCTTTACCTTTGTTTTACTCCACAGGGAAAACGATTATAGAATAGGAATACTGGATATATTTGGCTTTGAAAATTTCAAACGCAATTCGTTTGAACAGCTGTGCATAAATATTGCTAATGAGCAGGTCCAGTTCTACTTCAACCAGCAAATTTTCTCATGGGAGTTGGTAAGTTTGTTGCAGTTCTTGGCTTGGCTTACGATAAATTGTTCGCGATATCTTCGTAATAATCGAGTTGATGTCGACCTTTTCATAAAGTTAAGCTTTGATTAATTGCTGTGTTTCCAGCGAATATACCAGTTATAAGCCAAAATGAATAAAGGCTGATAGTTTCGAAAGAAACTGTTTGGGGCTGCGTCGGTGGGAGTAACGAAATAATTTGGATATATCAACAAAGTTGAAATGGTAAATTGGCCACCGTAATGATTACAAAAGCTGGCCAATTTACCATTTCAACTTTGTTGATATATCCAAATTAATAAGCCAAAATGGGCAAGCACTCACCAAAAAGAGCTGGAAAATTCATGATTGTTTTAAAAGGCGGGATGATATTTGCCTTCGCCAAGAGCGGGACTACGGGTTATTAGTAGTGAAAGCTGGGAAACATTTAACTCTTGGTAAAAGCGGTTTAAAGACATTGAAAAGGGCTGGACTACGTGTAACCCATGGTAAGCATGGTAAAATCCGCGGAAAGAAATCATCGGCAAGTTCGGCAAAACGTACTTGCTTACGCTATAGATATTACTGGCATCACAGACATTACTTCCAGGGAAACAAGGGGTGGGGTGGGTGGGGGGAGGAGAGAGAGGATTACTTGGGACTCGGGTCAAATTTTGCTGGTTTGTGTGGCTGGCCTCTTAGAACCCCTACCTAATAATAGTTTATTTTTCGGCCAATTACAGACCCCATCTTAGTCACTTCTTGTAATACGGTAACAACTTTTAATCCGCGAATCTTCCCATTTTTAAATCCCTACTTAACATAATTTTTTCACTCGTAAAATCCCAAAAATGTGAAGTGCGACCCCTTTTGAGTAACTATTTGAAATGCAACCCCATTATAGTCAATGCAATCGCGAAAATGCGACCCCATCCAGCGGCATATCCCATCACTAGGAACTACCCCCCTCTCCGGCATCACATACAACGCTAGCATTATTTGCAGCACTAACTTTACTTACCATACCAACACTGATTGCAGTATTGATACCTTTTACTTGCGAAGGAAAAAGAGAAAATTTAAAGAACGTGTTGATCTTGAATTCTGTGTTTTAATTGTAACGCTTCAGGAAGAATATCGCTCTGAAGGAATATCTCTCGAACGGATCTCATTCACCGACAACCGACCTGTTCTGGATATGTTTCTGCAGGTAATTTGTTAGTAGTGGTAGTGCTTTAAACTCAGTAAGTGATTTCGTCATGTCGCACGAAGAATTTCCGAAAAGATTCCGGTGGGTGTTGACCAATCAGGAAACTGAACGAACAGTGATTAGCATTAGGATTTTGTGACGTCAGTTAACCATATTTTCTAAAGGTTACTCCTTATTGATAAGCAATCTCTGATGTGACCTCTGTCTCACCAAAGGGCTTTGCCTTCTCGCTTTGGAAATCCATTAAAGTACATTTCGGTTGAGTGTTGTAAAAACCAATCTCATGTAATAAGAACCACCAATGATTAGCGAAAAAGAAAATATAACGTGTAACTGATGAGAGCTCAAACAAAAACAAGCTAACCACCTGAATGGCGGGAAAACGCGGGCGACCAAGTTGCCTATGGTTTTACTTCCTGAATCTGACTGGTTGAGAGCATGTTGCGATTTTTCTAGACCAATAATCCAGCGAGGTAAAGTATAACCGAAGCAATGTTGATGATGTGGACCCAAAGACAAAAAAAGGTAGCGGCCTGTGGCCGTTCTCTGTCACAGAACAGCCCCTTTTTTATGACGTTCATTAACTTTATTTCCTCTAGAAACCCATCGGTCTACTCGCTCTGTTAGACGAGGAAAGTCGTTTTCCGAAAGCTACAGACTTCACGCTCGTAGGTAAGATAGGAAAAGCAAACAAGTCTCAATATAGTAGTAATTTATTTGTATTTGTATTTACGATATTTAGACAGGCCAGCCTAATTCAGCTTGAAGCTGGTTTAAATGGGGGCCTGTACATCCCACCATCCCACCCCAGGGGAGGACATCCATCACACCAGTAATCTCGTGTGTGAGAAATTAACGTCTCCTACCCCAACCCTGCAGGAGACATTTGTTTTTCTCATAAGGTAACACCTATCCCAGCCATATGATCTTTTCAATGCAGTCGAATGAATAATCCATATTTACTTTCTCACAGAAAAATTCAACAAGAAAATCGACTGTGCATATTACGAGCAACCGAAGGAAAATGATGTTTTCCCTTCATTTGTCATTGCGCACTATGCTGGGCGGGTAAGTCTACGGTGAAAAAAAAAGCTTCATATGTAACATTCTTTCTCATACACTATGAAACGTCTCTCTAATTAACAATTACTCACCGAAGGCGAGGCGATTATTCGACGATATTCACCGAACCTGAGGCAAATAATTGTTTTAGTATAATTTCAGAGCTGAACTACAGAGAAATTTCTAAAGTCATAAGATTTTAGTAACATTTATTAACATTTTATTTTAAAATTTATATAAACCGCGTGGAGCGGTTTATATAGCGTCATATAAGGAACCGCTCGACCAATCAGATTACTGGAAACTCTTTGCTCAGCTCTGAAATTATACTAATGAAAGATGTTATTTCTTATACGTTCGAATCAGACGTGGAGATTTACGCAATGCGTGTGATTATTTTTAAGGTGAAATACGATGCAACCAACTTTCTGGAAAAGAACCGTGATACTCTGTCTCCTGACATCATTCATGTGTTGAGATCCAGCGGTAAGGAATCAGGTTTAATAAATGACTAAACAAAGAAATGAGATCAAGCGAATAAATAAGAAAAAGGATTTAGGACAATCTTGACTGGTCGACTCGCTTGAACTGTTTGAATGACGAGTCCCAACACGGGCTGCGTAAGAAACTACTTTGGCGTGCGAAATAGTTGAAATGAACTCTCTTCATTTTTTTAACAGATAATCGCCTCGTACGCACGCTCATGCAGCATCCATTGGCCAGATCAGGTTTGTTACTTTAGTCTGGATATTACCTGTTGGTGACAATCGGTCGCATTTGCGCGTTCGCTTGGTTCCAAGCGCGCTGGATTCCGGACCGAGAGAGCTGGGTTCGAGAACTGGTCGGAATATTGTGTTTTTCGGGGGGGGGGGTAGGCGGGGGAGACTCAACTCTTGACAGTGCCTCTCTCCACTCAGGATTATAAACAGGTACCACTGAACTGTCCGATAATTCTTATTGTTAACCTCTGATGGACCAGCATCTCTTCCAGGAAGGAGAAGGGGGGGAAGGGGGGAAGGGCGGAAGGGGGAAAGAGAAACTAGGATAAGATCCCACAGTAATTTATAACCCATACGGTTTTCAAGACTTTCTTTACCATAATCTTACCTCTTTTTATTTAGACCTGTACCTACTGTTCGTGATATTCTAAGTTTAAAGCCATTTCAAACTGCATAAACTTCCACTCCTCCACATCCATTCTTGTTCCTTCTTTTGAACTCAGATCCACTCATCTTTGCCATAAATTTTTACTGGGAGTTCCCATTAACCTGACTGAATTTTACATATTACTGTATTCTTCTATTTTTCATCTCTGTCTTCCTACACATATCACCTGTTACTCCAAACCATTCAAGTTACATTGTCCAATACCCATTACACAGTTCTTAAACCAAGGGAGGCTGTGGTATTCTTTCACGACGTTTAAGATAGAGCAGTTTTCTTTAGTTTCGATGGACTTTCTACTCTACATCCATCCAAAATTCACATTGAATTATTCTATTCTCAAGCCACTCCCTCATAGCTTGAGTTTCTGGAAGTGTCATTTACTGGTGATGCGATTTCCTCCAAACCTGCTCTTTTTGTGTTCTGTCTTTCTCACCAATTGTTGTTCCCAGATTTCTCTCATTCTGACGATGGCACACGCACCTTAGACCCCCACTGGTGGAGGGTGAATAAACCCTTCCCTGGGGTCACAGACGCCATGTTAGGATATAGCCCTAAAGAAGGCTGGCCAAAGGGAATGCGCAAGAAGAAATCGAAGAGTCCTGGTAAGATTGCGTGTCGCCCATTATCGATCGAAAGCGCGCGGAAAGGCGAAGAAAAAGCTCCATGGCGGTACCGCTCCGCCGCTCATTATTTATCAAAGCACGCATGGAGTTCTCTTGTTCCTATTCAGTTTTTTCTTCGCATCCATGCCATCTTTTGGTGTCTGCCTCTCTTGTTTATTTTAGTCTTCCCGCTCTAACGTTCTTCTTCCCGTTACATGCACACTCTCAAACTTTCTTGAATTCAGAAGCCCTTCCTGTGAATCTATCGCTATTCTACTCTATTACTAAGTGAAATATTAAATTTGAAAACAACTTACTCCTCTCTCAAAAGGAATTTAATTCCTTTCGTGTACAGTTGTCTTATCCTTTCTCTATCCAGGCTCCTGACTCTTTCGTCGACATCTGCTAAAGAGTTTTTGTCCAGCTCTTTCCTTAAAGATTGTCACTTGTAGTGTGTTCAAGCCAAAACCAAAACGTGTTGGTGAAAGGCACCTTTACGGGTTGACATGTCATTTTTTTGTTCTTCTTTCTCTAGGTGTAAGCGTGAAGAAAAACAGTTCTCAGCCGCCCACGTTCCAGGTGGAGAAAGACAAGGTGTGAGGATAGGTTTTATTTTTTGTGATCGTCGACTGTGGAATAGTTAATTGATGACTGCTCAGTCGGTCATTCATTTGGTCAAGCCAGTAACCTAGTCAGTCTCTCATTCTGTTCATTAGTGTACGTTAACTAGTCTGATTGCAGTCCTTTGCCGGCAATTTGTCTGACCTTCTTTTGAATCCTGCAATCAAATAACAATCAGTTATTATATGACCGTAGGGGCCCGCGCGCGCAATTTCAATCCTGCCGGCAACCATTTCATATCATGTCAATTGTCACTAAGGAAGTAAGTGAGAACTTCATTATTATGTCGACATCGCCAGTGTACGGTGTACACTAATCGGGGACACCTAACAACAATTGATTATCTAATAATGAAGGAGAATATGAGATATATGTACATGTGCAAGTATTGGAAAATAAGTTTTGTCCAGTAAGCTTGCGAAATTGACCCTTTTGATGCGCTTTTTAAAAATGTCCAATGATTCAGACGATCGAGTAGATTTGTCGAGTTTGGACGAGATGACAGGGCCCATACATTTCGTACTTTTTCCATCAGTTGTATCAAGAGAAAATGAAATGACAAAAGCAGTTGGGTGTGGAAAACCCAAAATCAAGGCAATCACCACGAACCCATCATAACAAAGATTCACAATAGCCATTACATCATCAATAGCCAATGAGAACTCGAGTAAAGATAGATAAACCACCAAAAGCGCGGGAAAACGCCGATGACCACCAGCTCATGATTGGTTTAGAGGTTGGCGCGAACCTTGTAGACCAATCATAGAGCTAGGTAAAGCAAAACGAAGAAACCCCGCATTACTGTCTACGCTCAATTGAAAATTGAAAACTTTTCATTATTTGTGTCAAGAAAAATCGAACTGACCGAAACAATCCCGATATACTCCCACAGAAGCCGAACGGTCTTTTGAGCTTGCCAGAAACAAAACTGAGTCCTCTGTTAGAATCTAACACCACATCTCGGTGGCAGCAAACAGTCTCTGTTCACTTCAGGGTAAGTACATGAAGTACATAGTCTTTTTCTCATAGCGCACGCGTGGATCATTTCTTCGCTTATCCTTTATGAGTGACTTTTACATATTTTCAGTTACTATTTTTTCTTTTCTTTAGTATTCACTTCGGGATTTGCTAGCCAAACTTTTGCCCTCAGAATCACACTTTGTACGGTAAGTTAATGATTAAAATTTTCAGGAAAATGCATCAAAGAGATAATATGAAACCGAAAAAGCAAGAGAGGTCAAAAGCATTTTCCCAGTCAGGAATTTTTGCTTGATTAGTGTTCATGTTAGGGAAAATTGTGCGCATATTTGCATTTTAAATTGCTAACGAAAGCTCTTCAACAAAAACGTTGTTATATGGAAACTCGCTGGTTTAAAGTCGGCTTATTAATGGCAGATGTTGATACGATTTACAAACGAAGAACCAAAAAAGTGAGCTTCATGCCTACTTCATAAAGAAACTTCTTTAACTTAAACGTGCATTTTGTATCATTGATAGGTGTATCAGACCAAATGAACAGATGATTGCGGGCAGATTTGACCAGGAAAAAGTTCAATCCCAACTCAGATACACTGGTGTATTAGAAACCACCAGAATTCGTCGGCAGGTTGGTTCCTGTATAAGCTTGCCTTTTTAAAGCTCTTTCTTTTCTGCGACTTACGGTTTTTGTTTTTGTTTTTGTTTTTGTTTTTTTTTTTTTATTACAACTATTTTAGGGATATTCGGAGAGAATCACGTTCGCAGAATTCGTCAAAAGGTACGTCTGTTTAGTCAGTAAGCTGTATGGAAGGGTAATTTTTTTAAAAATTAAATTTGAGTTTTCAAAAATAATCCTGCTTTTCGTAAAATATAAGAAAGATGGTAAGTTTTTAGCACGGCGAAGTGCTCGTAATGGGCCTTGCTCGCCATGGAGTCTCTGTGGCTGAATGATAGAGCAATAGAGCGCGGACTCCGAAGGTCAGCGGTTCGATTCCTCATAGGAACTCAGAATTTTTTCTTTGTCCCACGCTCGTAATTAGACGAAAAACATCTTTCTATAATCCTGCATTTGTTTCGTTTTGGTCTACTACGATCTTATGTTGGTGTACAAACTCGTGCCACGCTCTTTTCGGGTACAGGTAGTCGACGTGAATGGTTATTTACATCGTAATACTAGAGAAAAAAAAGAAGCTTAAGTGTAGGAAATGGTTGGACTCAAATTGTGTTTTCCAGTAGTGATAGTTTATGAAGAGGCAAGAGCCCGCTTCAATTCAAACACGACTCAGCATTCTTATTTACTGCTCTTTGATGAGTGAAGAAGAAGAAGAAGAAGAAGAATTAAATTCTTAGGAAACAGAAAAACGAAAAAAAAATATACTAAAATATAAGACTGGAAAAATTAATGCGAAGACACTACGAGACAAAACTTACCAAATGCCGAAGGAATGCACGGGGCACTAAAAACTAAAAACATTCGACAGATGAAAGGTTCACATGGCGTAAAAAAGCGAGATACACTGCAAAAAGGGGCCTGAAAGTGCTAAAATAACGATGCAGAAATTATACTTGAAACTGAAAAGAATAAGCGCAAATGAATGGGTGCGGTATAAAACCTAAATGTAAGTAAAAAAATACACATTCGCCA